ATTTTCTTTTTTATATCTATATATCTGTATATATATATATATATATATATATATATAATTCTCTTTACCACAGGTGTCCGTTGTTTAGGGGATCTCTGTGCTGTCCTTACTCCCATTCTTCCTTTCAACGTAATACACTCTAGGCATATCCACCTGCAGAAAACTCGGGTGCGACCGGTAACCCGGCTTACACACACATATATATATATATATGTATATATATCCAGCAGACTAAAATGGCCTTCCCACTGGCATTAGTGAACTATCTCTTTCAAAAGTCAGCGACCAACAAAAGTAGTCTTCCGAAAGCCAACTCACAGAGTTATTCTTTGGCTCGGATCTTCAGAAGCTACGGCGTTCACTGACGTACGTTACGTATCTACCCTAATAAAAGTAACTTTTTTGTGATACGTTTTGTCAGCACATCTCATGCAGAATTCCCGATCTTCGGGAACGTTTGACTACTGAAACACACCAGATGTAGGTAGATCGATATGAGTCAACTCTCCGCGTTTTATTTCACAACCTGCGTAAGTGTGTACCAAATTGCAGCGCGGATCTAGATTACACTGATTTACTTTCACGAGATATTTGGATAGAGTTCCTTATTTTATTAAGCCCCGAATATCCGGAATGTATGTTCCCATTTTATAGGAACTTTATTCTTCATTTTGGCGGACTGAAAACCAGGTTTTCGGTACATGCTTGCCCGTAGTTGTCCATGTATGGGGAGAGTACTTTTCTCACCCGGCACCGTAAACTGCCTTGTGTTTCCCGGTGTTCCAGACACCGGGACCTCAAAGCACGTCGCGGTTTTCTCAACACTATGCGAAATGAAGTGGATTAAACCCCATTGGAAGAACAAACTGCTGGACAACAATGTTATTCCTTTCAAAATGTTATCTTAGACACAGTACTCGATGGCATCTAATATCCGGGATTCGGTCGTGAGATAACAGTTGCTGTGGAAATCGGGGTAAACGTGACCTTTATTTACGGAGGTGTCTATATTTTGGACATCTACTCTCCAAGTCATGGTTGTCATACCATGAGGGGCCAAAACCAAGGTTATTGAGAGACGCTTTTGGCTATCACTTACAAACGGATGAGGTGCCATTGTTAGCCAGTTTTGTGTGTTTAGGGTCCATTTTCTGGTGCTATTGAAAACGTCACCCTGGGCTGCTGATTCCCTTGTAGTGTTGGCCTGATGAATCTTATTGAGGGCCCCCTCCTTTTTTAAACATATTAAACTATTTACCTACACATCAAACATACGTGTCTGTGTAAGCGTTCACAGAACACGGTCATCTAGATTTCGCACTTGGATTCTGTCTAGAACACCGCATAAAAATCGGTAGAGTGGATCGCTAAATAAAACAAGCACTTGGGAATTTTCTGCACACAAATCAGAAAACTTGATACAGTCGGAACTTCAATCACTGAGCTGAACCAGTATCTGAAGTAACAAGGTCACAACCGCATTGAACTTCAATCACTGAGCTGAACCAGTATCTGAAGTAACAAGGTCACCAACCGCATTGATCGACACGGAAATGAATGCTGTTGATTACGTGACCGTTTATCTGTTTGTGGGGCAGTTTGCTTGCGGACGTTTCGCAACCAGATGTGAAGACATTATCTGTGCGCGACTGAGTGGATACAGCGCCCTTGCTTGTATGCCTTTCTCTCTTTTTTTGATGTGACTGAGCAAATAAAAAGGCAGCTTTCTCGTGTGTTCATAGGCTCTTTTACGATTTTGACGGTTTTTGGTCTGACGTTCGATGCATCTAAGGATTAGTATATTTCGCTCATTGTTTCGATCCGTCCGTTGTTGATGTGTATTGCTTTGCGCTCTCATTTTCTTGAGTTTGATTGGTCGGTTGCGCTGTTTTGTTTTCTCGTTTGCAATATCTGGTGTCACTGTATCTGGCTTGATTACTAGGTGCCTTAATTTAGTTTCTAGATTTTTAGTGAGGTTATATTTCAATCAAAATGATTTGTTCGTTTTGCTCTAGTTTGCTCATCTGTTTCTGTAGAGTTTTTGCGGAGTTTTGAGCTCCGTAGCTCCCGAATTCTGTTGTCCTTGGTATTTGGCATACTGGATCATGTTTGTTGATGGTATCTTCAGTGGAGCACCATCTTTCGATAAATTTGAGTTCTTTTTTTATAGGTAGGAGAGGTATGCCGTCCCATTTAATCTCTTGTCCTTCCTGATCTTTGAGAGTGGAGATGAGTCGATCTCCATAGTTTCTAGCAGAAATCTTCATTCTGGTTTCCACGAGACAACAGATCTCATTTTTTCACGAATATTCGCGAAAATATACCCTACCGCGTAGCATGGCGAGCAGCAGTGAACCACTAATCGGCTCGGTAGACCGACCCACGAATGGACAGGCGCAGAAGGAAATACGAGGGAATAGCCCTAGGTAAAACAAGAGGTATTCGATAAACATAAAAAACTTACCGGACCGGTCACAAACGAAAATCACATTGTTTCACTCACCACTTTGCTAAACAAATCCGCTCCTGCTTTGGTCAGTTGATGCATGGACCAAGATAAGTCGTTTTCGAAGCTGTGCATATCCAGCAATTGGTGCACTATGGGTCGGTTTTCTATGAAGGAATGTTTCGGAAATTGTTGGTCAGGGTTATTGCCTGCATACAACTTTCAGCATACTAGTCTGCGGTGTTAAGTGTGAAGTGATCTTCACTGTTCAATGGTAACCGAGCTTGTGTAAGCACGTAATCTGCTAAACTTCGGCTTGAGAAGCAGGTATGAAGGACCTTGTTTCTCAATCTGTGTCTTCAGTATTACATTTGAATCAACCAAAGGGACAGTCTGAATGTGTGAACACTTTTCATACACAGTTTTATCAAAAGGCATCGCACAGGAACATTGTTTCCCCAGCTTGTGCCATATACAGTTGATGTGATGCACACCTTCAGTCAATCACCCAGTCAATAGGCATATGACGTTTGTTCAGGTTTGATAGAAAGGTAATCCTCTCAGTTGGTTTTCCTAGTCCATGCCCTCACATTTATCAGTTTCCCACTTGTGGGTTTCAGTTTTTCCCCTAAGGAGCATCGTGGTAGGCGTAGAAAAGCCTGATAAAGAGCTCTGTAGAATAACGCATTCGTCAAGATTGACGATCCGTCTTTTTCGCATATCGTTCGGATGACATATCACTTTCACCGTTTGGTCGAATCAGCTAAACGACAGAGCGGCTGAAGGCTGCAGCAGGTTTGACGATCCGTCTTTTTCGCATATCGTTTGGGTGACATATCGTTTTCAGCGGTTGGTCGAATCAGCTAAATGATAGAGCGACTGGTGCCTGCAGTGGATGCCTTCTTCTCCTTGGCCTTTGCAATCCACCAGCGTCATTATTCAAGTTCCTAATACTCCGGTGTTTGAATGATCTGTGTGCACCATTGGGGCCGCTAGTTGCTGTCATGGCAGCCATAAGATTTGCTGATCTCGACGATACCCAGTGTTCATTTATTCTAGTCGGATGGCTTGGACAAACATTTCTGAAAACTGAGTGCATTGCTTCTTTCACTTGCTTCCATTCAACCTCCCGGCCATATTTGTCATCTACACGACTGTGCGTTTCCAGTGACTTTCTAGCCGGGTCAGCTCGATACTCTTGAGATACCGAAAATTGCCCTGAGATTGATTTCGTCGAACCTAATATTTTTCTGGTAGCGCATTAAGACATCTTGAAATTCGATCGCCGTGTAAACCAGCTAGTTTAGGACACAACTCAAGCGACCACGTAGGTGCTAATAGGTCTTTTCATAGATATAGCTCCAGTGAAAACAGTGACTGACCTCCTAATCTACGCGTCTTTGATTAGCAGAAGACGCATCTGCTTCTGGAGCCTCCAATCTCGCCTTTGGAGGAGTTTAAACCCTGACAGGTCGGTTTTTCACTTTAAAAATGTAGTATTTCTATTGCTTTCGTGATCTTTTTTGTTTAAATGGATTAGTCAATTTTTTTCCCTCTACCGGAACTGGTCGAGCTGGAAAATGAAAACTAACTTACTCGTTGCATCCGACCCACTGATTCCATTCAACAGTTGGAAATGCTTTGGTCTGCCTCGCAACTCTTTCAGATGATGCAAAAAATGCAATAGAATTTCTTGTTCACAAGAGGATTTGTTCACATTTCCACCACTGTCGGCTCGTTTTGCATTGGTTACTTGTGTAGCTTCAGTAATATTGTCCCAGTTGATATCAACTACACTGCCCGCGGTCTCTAGAGCGATTTGAACGAGAAGTGGCGGTTCACACTGTAATTAAGATGGATGTATAATAAAGCATAAGAAACTTTAGCTGTTTTCATGAAGTGAGAAATCTTCCAAAGGTAGAAATGATGACGTATGTTGTCAGGAATTATTTGGGCCGCGGGTGTGGGAAAGGCACACATTTTGTTCAACATTTAAATGTCAGTTTCGTCCCATAAGTGAAACTATTCTTCGCCGAAAAACCCAAAAGTTCAGAACAACTGTTTTACTCCTCTTGGTAATCACCAAACATTTCACGAAATTTCGGCTGGCTTCGAACACGCGAACACCACGCTAGTAGTTTGAAACAAATTGACGGTTCGGCAACAAGCGACTGGTGAATAGTGTGATTAGATAATAGGTATACATAGGTATAACACTTGTCATCCTTTAATCACGGTCCCCACACCCCGATAAGGATGGAACAACTGTACAGTACCTCTCGTCTTTTTGGCGCGTACTGACTTCAATAACAGGACGCAATTTCTTCAGCAACCTCATGAGTAGTGCATTACAAATGTATACATGTATCGCGATATCTCGAATATCGTAGCGACTGAAACATGAGGCGCCTGATGCAGCACATTCGGTTGCCTGGAAATATCACAAACGAGAGATTCAGCTGGGTTCCAGGTGAGTCTATCGAAAAACCAGATTAGTTTGCAAATGTGTGTATTCCGCTAAGGATGTAATCTCCATTAGAGTGGCACACATGTTATCAGACACACAACAACTTCCCAATGTTGCTCAACTACGATTCTTGTGTGGATTTTCTGCCAGTATTAGTCATTTTGTATTCACACCAAAGTTAAGGATGTTTGTCGTGCCATTTTTCCCTAATTTTAATATTTTCTCAATTGAACTGATGAAGAATTAGGAGGCATTGCATTTGAATTCAAACTACACATTGGTTTGCCAGTTGCTACGGTAACTGATCACAACATTTCTTTTACTTGGGAACTTCACCACGAACTACAAACTTGTGTAAGCGTTTTTAGATGAAGTTTCAAACGTGAATGAAATTGATAGTGTATTTCGAAACCACAGAAAACAGTTATATTCTCCTAATGTAACAAACTACTTGAAAGTTGCTGAAAACCTTTCGACCACTCACTACAGGTTTCGCCCTCCATGAAGATGATCAGGTAGACGAGCTTCCATTGAAATTACGTTCTACCTGAAAATCGAAGCTCATAAGCTCAGTCTACATGGTGATCCAGCATAGACTATCAGTGACCAACCTGGAATATCCGGTCCTGTGATGGTCAAAATTACACTCACCGGTACGGAATACACCGGAAATTGGAGCTACCTCTGTAACGTGGAGGTGTGTAACGGTGATACTACTGATTAGGGAGGCACGCGAGTAGTATGTGTTGTTCGTAGAATTTCGCTTTGCATCGATTGAAAAAGGGAATTCTGTTGTGGAATTCTTGGGGCCACTTTGTAACATTTGCTTGGATTTGACCGACGAATTAGTGGTGGCAGTGAATCTCTAGGAAGACTCGTTCGGGAGAAGATCTGCGTCCAGTTTTTGTAACTAAGATGCAGATTAGGGTTTTGCTGCCCTGTTTAATGGTCTGTGACCGGTCAGTTGGCGTTTCCGAATAAATAACTCCGGAGCGAATGCCTTCTTCCTTTCACCTCATGCGTTCCAAAGGGGTCTTCAGGAACTTTCAAGCAATCTTATAAGTAGTGTGTTATAGCAAAACAGCATACTCTAGTATCTCCAGTGCCACAGGAACTGAAACATGAGGCGGCCTGTGTGCAGCACATTCAGTTGAAGAACATCATAAACGAGAGATCCAAATAAGTATCTCTCCAACACCAGAGTTATTTGAAACATAGTGTATTTCATTAAAACAAGAAAACCCTTTTTAAAACCATAACCAAGACGTCCATCCATATAAAGTTGGCTCAGTAGTTAGAGCGTGGATTTACTGACCCAAATGTTCGTGGTTCGAACCCGACATCTGCCTCTCAGCCTCTATTCTCTAGACCCGGATAAACTGGCAGTATCCTAGCCCTCGTGCTTCATTCGGGTGACATGACAGTTGGGCATAGAAAGGGAGCTACAGCTGAACGACTCTATTCAACGTGACAATCTGTTGGACCACCAGGAACGCTTGCTGGGGTCAAAAAAACATGTAAAAGGACGCGTTCCTTGATTCCTCTGTCCAAATAGAGAAACATAACATTTGCGTTTCCGTTTCATTGTAAACAATTGTCGGAAACTGATTCACTTAAAACAGGGTAATAACTTAGATTATGGTTTTAGCGACAAAATAGCATATCGTGAGTATTCAAAACATGATTAGGTCTTTACACTTTTTTCGTGGTTTATTCTAATATTTTCCAAATTGAATAGAATCGATTTCTGTCTAGATAAAGCCCCCTTTTATTCCACAGAATCACTCTCAGGGTATTAGGTTATCAATCATCCCATGTTAGATTTCATGCGATGTAGCCGAGCATCATTCAGACATAACACAGAATCATTGACCGTTAAGCGTCTTAGAAACGGAGCATTCCATCCTTCCGTGACCTAGCATTGATGCGGTGCACTGACCTTCACTACAAGACGACTTACGTGCTAATATTGCTTTGTCAGGAGGGAGCATATTGGTCTGTTTTGTTCGAATTGTCACTTTTTCCAGTCAAGCCACTTATTCAGACGTTGTTCTCGCTTTGCGTAATGAAGGGGACAGGCAGTTTCGTCATTTTTATTTAGTGGGATCATGGCCGGTGAGAATTGTGGGATTATGCTCGCGTTCTCTGTCAACAAACCAATTTGTTGGTACTACGCACGAACGAAAACAGAGATGGTCGTGAGTGATGTAAACCAGAAGCAAATACGCTCCGTAGTGCCGCAGTAACCGAGCCATCAGTCTGGTCTGAATGAAAACTGACAAGTGGGGGCTGAACACCGTAGGAGAACAAGTAGGGGTAGAACTGATCGGCGTATCCCGTATACCAGAGCATACATTAGCATTGAAGTACTGAAAGTGTCATACGATTAGAAATGGGTGCTCCATTAACACAGTCCGATTAGTACTCACAGTCCAACTGGCGCAAGTGACCATAAAGCTCGACCATTTCGTTCGGCTATCGGAGTGTCAAGCCTGTATGTTCCATTGCCTAAAGCACACACGTATTCGTCATATGATCAAAGTAACGCGAAGTAATCTATATTCCGTTAGTGTGGACGTGTCGTAGATACAGATGGTAAGCACAATTGGGATATGAGAGTCCCAGCCAATCGTATGAAAGTCAGGTGCGGTATTTCTTAAACTGTTGCTCTAATGGGAGTGCTAGGTTTGTTACAAAATGTAGGCCCCCTGCCGTCCACAGACCGGATTAGTATTCATGCGGATTGTGATTGCTGTCATCGTTGATTGGTCGTTGTTGATGTGACCTTCAGGTCACTGGAAATGATCTTCATGACTTCTGCATCCCCATCAAGTACCTTTATTGCCTTGGATGGAGACTTTGAGATGGGATACATCAACTGTAAGAGACATTGTCAGACATGGCACTCGTGTAGCCCCCCTCTCAAAGTCAACATTGAAGGTCCACCGATAGCCCTGTATTTATATCAGCTACCACCTAGGTATCTCCCCTATCTCCCCAACTCATCGGAGAACAAAACTATGGCAGCTATAATAACCACTGTATGACAATTACGCGGTTCTTACAGCTGATAATGATGAAGATGACACCATACAAAGCTGGGCAGAACAAATACAGACTTCATGCTACCACCTAAATGAAAAGTGCAAAATCAAGCACACCAAGATTTCATTAAACAATTTCCACAAGATGAATTTATAAGCCAAGAGACTCGACCTAGATTCTAAAATTTGCTGGACGCAACTAGCGAAGGATCCCAGGAGACTGGCCAACAGTCCCGAACAGATTCCGGATCGCATTCAAAGCGCTTAAATCGTATCATGTAAAAGTGTTAGCCGAGATCTTATCTGTCCTAGTATGACGTCCACCAGTCTTCTCAAAATCACACATCCTCAGCATCACATCCGCTGATAATTACCTCGAAACCTCAGCACATACCGACTTGACGCCGACGTCTGATATGTTGAATCATCACGCAGTAGCTTCTACCGCACCGGTGGTAGAACAGACCACTAGCCCAGACCGATAGCACACTGACCTGATTCAACACAAACGACTGAAACCATCAGAGGCGCCCGCTCCTCTTTCGTTGTTTCAGGAGTAGACAAGTTTGATTATCGGCCCTACACTGTCCTGGCACACTGTCCTGCTTATGAATTATCTTGGTATGCTTGCTCGGAACTCTGATCAGCCTCGAACTTTTGAGGGCTTCATCCAGACCCAGCTATCATGACAGGCTTATTGAGTAAGCAAAATACACTATCAGTCGACTCATCCACATGATGACATATACACATAAATATTTTGACACTTTCAGCATGGGTTGCGTTATCTCGAAAGAGCACACCTGAATTGGTAGTGTGAGGAGATTTGGGATTTTTGTGGAGATACCGTCCTGTAAGTGAAGCCAATCTACGCTGAAAAGCCGAGAAGCACTATGCAGCTGTTTCATCCTTATTGAGAATCATCAGCAGTGCGCATCTCACGGAGCTCCCAAGAGTCTCGAACCCGCGACCTCCCGGCTAGTAGTTTGAACCCTTAACCGTTCGGCCACGAGTGGCTGATCAGCAGTGTGATTAACTCGCACTTAGACAGGATATAGCGCCGCTCATCCTTCAATCACGGGATCCACATCACGTGGTCACACACGTGGTCCACTCGTGGCCGAACGGTCAAGTGGCTGAGGAGGAAGACTCGAGGCAATTCATATGAAGCTATTTACCGAAGAGGCATCAAGTCCGAAGAAGCCTTCTTGCAGTAACAAAGCAACCGCATCGGCATTACGCTCGTGTACAGCGACCTCCAGCAAATTGTTCTCATTGTGATCCCTCCACTCTGGTATTTCCCAAATGCGTGCACGCTGACGAAATAGCAGTGCGTTTGCAAGCCCGGCGAGTTTCGAGAAGGCTGCCCTTCGTTTAGGTTGAATACGATCTCCATGGCTTCTGGACGAACGACGGATGAGTTCAAAGAAGCTGAAATGCAATACCGGAATGCTGAGCAAACATTTTGCGTAGAAATGGATGAGCACTATTCACTTATATCCCATGTAGTTCCTACTGAGGCTCTGCAGAAGGACGTGATGATCCGCAACACTAGCGCTTATTTTCTCGATTTAGTTACCGCAAATGGTTGTACAAAAGCCAGTCCGACACTCTTACAATCTACGTATAAAACGCGTAAGCAAGACAAGAGGATTATCTGCCGTTTAACAAGCGTGGTCGATCTCTGGCTATCGGTCGGCTATTCTAGATTTTGCATATCGCAACTTGCATCTCTAGACGAATGAAGAAGGTATGTTATTGACTATCCTTAATTCATATCTCAAGGAATTGAAACAAACAATTAAATGCAGGTTCATGTGGACAGACGGACAACAAGGCAATCCGTTTCAGGTGTACTTCAATTCAACACTGATATTCGGCCAGCCTTTGGAATGAAACTATGCGAAACAACACTGGTAGCTTAGGTACATCGTAAACGAAAGAATCACCCGGGTTCCGGTTGAGTCTCCCGTCGAGACCTAATTAGCATGAAAATGAATGTATAATTCCAAGACTGGTAGTACTGTCCAGCAAGCTTCTCGTTCTGTATGGAAAACGTGTCAACTTAATTCGTACCGTGAACAGTTGAAAGGTGTGTTAAACTAAAAGTACGTTCACCCTAGGAATTTCGGGGTGGAGATTCCGACTCACTCAGTTTGAAGTCGATCTCGAGGAGCAGTCGTATACTGTTTGTGCGCTTCCCAGAAATGCTTTGCTGCGGTAAGTGATAAACAGTAAATTATTTGTGTTCATTTACGTAATTACTGAGTAAACATCACTGTTATTACTACTACGATAATAAGTAATAATAAGTAGCCATTAATTATTAATTAATTAATTGTAGTTGGGTACACTCAGCGAAGTAGCCTTTGACCGCAGCTGTCTTATATTTATTTTTTATTTTTTATTTTTAATTTTATTTCTCTAAAAATCGCTCGCCAGAATCGAGCTGTCTTATTTTATAAAACTTCGACAATAAAATTAGAATCTCTATGTCAACACCCGAAGGACAATTTTTTACTTTTTTACTTGCGATCAATATTTGAACTGCAGTTTCTTCAAAACCGTTGCAAGCATCCTTGGTGAAATTTGTGACACGCTTTCCCTTGTCTGCAACTGAATTACCGAGAAAATCACTTTTCATATAGGTTCAGTTATTCCGCGTTGATCAAAGCCTTCACAGAACAGAATTTACGAAGGCCACTTGTAGTCAGACAGGACTGGAACTTTTGCTCAGCTGATACTGCGCGAATGAGTGAAGTTGGTGGTCTGTAGAGGTCACTTATCAGATCATGCGTCACAATCAAACCACGTAACAATTCCTGTCCCACTTGCAACCTTAGCCGACAACTTGTACACTACAAATTCTCATCCAATCGCGTGGATATTGGGTCTGGCCGAATGTCTCTTTCCTGACTTTCTGGGACAGTTGACTTAACCTCAGTCGAAAACCAACAACTGCGGGAAAATGCATCAGTTCCGGCGGATCATCCAGCGCCTATCTGAATGGTCGTATTCCACCTACATCGAGGATTTTTCTTAGGTAATACTGATAGCATTTGGGTTTGTACAAGCCAAAACAAAATCCGAGTAACAATGGAGACCTCGCTTAGTTCTTATCCTACCACTAATTCTTAGAAGCATCTAAATCCGACAGTGCTGCTGGGTTCCCTGTGCTGAATGAGAAGCACAATGAGAAGCACAGTAAACGAATTTGGAATGTCTGCGCGTTGCGGCTACTCGAACGTCCGCACCCATCTGTGGGATTAAGCATAGAGGGTAACTATGAATTGACTTTATAGCTTTATAGCTTTGACTTTATAGCTACCCTTGACTGGGCGTAGGAGCATGAAGGAGATCACGAGACGCTTGGATGCCGTCGGTGCTACTCGCCTTCCAGAATGGGGACCGCGTGATCCTCACTGTGCCTGGTTGGAGACACTACAAGATATGGCTGTCAACCGATGTCAGTGGCGTTCTTGTTGTCAATTTCTATCCAGATTACCTGAGTGGATGTCTGGAGGTGTAGGCACCTTGGAATGATTGTGGTAAGCTAGCACTAAGTCCCTTCCCCGTCCACCTATACTCTTTCCTTTACAATAAGGTTTTCAAATAAGTCATGGTTGTACGGCAGTGAAGCATCGGTGTTGAACACTGATGTCATGCTGTCGAGTATGATGATGATGATGACTTTATAGTTAATGGTTGGAAATCACATGGTTGTATGAAACCATACTATCCATCCAAGACTTCGCACGAACCTCTCCACTGCTTCACTGGACCTGTGGGTCTACAGGTTGGTGTTTCTGATTTGAATGAACATACCCATGAAGAGGAGAAGGCTTTCACTGCGGAGCCGTCCAATACGGAAACACCAACTGAACAGTTACAAACTATTGGACAAGGAAACAGAACTCTCATGTGCATCTTGTTTACGAAACTGAATATCCATCTCTTCCTTGAACGCGTCTTCCTGAACTTTCCTGGATATTCATAGACTTTTAGTCAAATGCAAGCAAATGCTACAAATTCCGTAATATATCTCAGTTTTCAAGAGACGCGAAGCAGATTTCCGAGGGGACATGCTACTGACATGCCTCAACAGTAGTATCACAGTTACACCCACGATGCGCACCTATGCTGGGACTCCTTGTCAGTCGGATTACGGAAACCCGAGTTAGAGACACCTTAATAAATGTAACTGTATTTGCTGGGTGCTCACCAGCCTCCGCAACGGACTCCACCATGAAAGGAAGTTTATACTCTTGTTGGTGGAATATACTGTTAACCGCAGGTGACTGGGATTCTCGTGTTTATCGATTCCACCTATCATATCCCAGGCAGGTTTTACCCGGAGTAACGATGTGAAAACAATGACAGGCTTTTCAGCTCCTGTACGTCAAGGCATCTGCTCATCACTGATACCCACTTCTAGCATCCTGAATAGGGTTTGCAAAAACGATACTGGAATGATACACTGTCAATCGGTCAGCTACAGAAGCTTGTCAGACGTACCAAGGAGCTGAAACGAAGAACAAAAGGGTATTTAACATACTTTCGGGTGAGCGTGAATCACGCTGTATCTTGCCAAGAGGCAGAAACATCAATCTTTAAGACGAATGGACGTCTTTCTGCTTGAAGCAGACAAACTCATACAAACCTTTTTGACTGCTTAAAACGCCTCTGAAATCCATCGATTTGCATCTGGAACAGCGGCCCATATTCAAGACGTCAATCCAACAGGCCCTGTCTTGGTTACCCCAAGAAAAGACAAAACTATATGGCTCTCGAACCTAGCACTGCAGGAAAACCCCCATGAAGCTCCTGAGTTATGGACTGTTCAAAGTGAAGCCACTGCGTCATCTTGAGTTGACTGTATTTCATACTGGTTGAATACCGCTGCAGCTAAGGAGAGGGCCCTGATAATTGGATCAATTGCCTATCGTTTCCATCCTGTCCTATTTACCTCTAGCCGGTGCCAGTCCGTGTGATCACTTTTGTGCAGCAAAAGCAGAGAGCTGATCGCAGATCACCCGGTTAAAAAGAAATGGTGAGTGCATTTTTGTAATACAGGAGAAATTTCTACTCGATGTGTTTTGGTTCTTCCGTAAGAACAGTGAAGTCAACATGACGCTGCGACAGGTTGTTTGAAATCTCTTGGGGTTGCATTAGCAATGATCGCCCTGAAAGGGGTATTGGTTGAACTAAAAAGAAATGAAGAACTCTGAGCTAACGGTATTGCACCTGAAGACAAAATCAAACACAACCCCCAAACTAACACTTGGTTTCTAAACAAAGCAACTTGGTGGAATGATCGAAGCTATATCGGAATCAGGATAAAACTCACAACTCATAGTACTTGGATCATACAACAAGCCGAGAGATTGTTCGCTCCTTCTGGTTCGCTACCATTTGAACAAAGGGAAAAGTTAAGCGCTTGATTCATATAGTATGAAATACAAAACAGTTAATCAATGTGTTTTTTTTCACCGTAGCAGATTCCTGGGATTACTCTTCCACAAGCATTCATTTTATCCAAGGGAACGAAAATGAAGTGTATTTGAACAAAATATAGTAATGTATAAAATATAACAGTAATGGGCTTGCCGATGTCGCCTGGGCCCGGAAAAAGCTCAGGTGAATCCTTTATTTGAGAAGACACTCAGAGAGCCACTCTAGATAGAGGTTGCTCGAGATAGCTAAGTGGTTAAGGAGTAAAGTTTATCACGGAAGGTCCGTGTCGCCTGGGCCCGGAAAAAGCTCAGGTGAATCCTTTATTTGAGAAGACACTCAGAGAGCCACTCTAGATAGAGGTTGCTCGAGATAGCTAAGTGGTTAAGGAGTAAAGTTTATCACCGGAAGGTCCGTGGTTCGAACCCAACCCCGGCATCTCGCCTGTTCCTAGGCTTGGATAACTTGGTAGTATCTCAGCCTTCATATTTACTTCGGATGTTATGGAAGTTTGGAACCGAAAGTGATTTACAGCTGAGAGAGAGTACTGTTATTACTGATACTATTATTACTAGAGATATGATCACATGTTAACCGCGCGGTTGAGGGATAAGTGACTCTAGATCCTGTGCAAGAGATGGTTCATCACACTACCGGCCAGGCACTGGTGCCGTTTAACCACTAATCAGTAGATTTGGAGTTCAAATTGCCTTAGAGACCTGTACAGTACTCACTGCTTACTGAATCCAACAATAATGAAATAGAATTTATCGTTTCTTCACCATAGAGTAGCTTCATTTGCGGGATGAAATTCTGACATAGTCCCATGTTACTAGCATTCATTCGTGTGAAAATATGCCGAGTTCTACTGTACTAATTCAAATGAACAAGTAAACTGTGAGAGAACAACTGGGCAAAGAGTTGGCTTGAGCGTTGCTTCATCAAATCGACTGATAGAACCCGTTGCTGAGAATTTAAGAAAAATCGTAGTTTTTTGTTTTTTTACCGGATGTTAGTTCATCGCACACCAAACGGACGAAAAACGTGCGTCACATGCGAGTTGGACAACGTTTATCATTGCTGATTACGATGTCCAGCGGAAAATCTAATCTTATAGCGATGAGGACTGATGGTCATTCAGCAAACATCCCCCTGTACAGCGAAACTACACAATACACTAAGCCAATCTATACAAACCTTTTGTCGCCGCTACGCTCATAAAACTGGAGAATATATATAAAAGTTCTCTTGCTCAAAAATGATCGTTGAGTGATCGGCAGGCATTTCAAACGGACAAAGCAAGCCTGCGGAAAGCTTTTGGTAAAGAAGAAAATTAGCTTAAAGCCTGAACTGGAGCTGAGGCTTGAAATGTTTTAAAATATATCATTATTGTTAATTTGCGTCACTTGCCAGTAACCTACAATATCTGTGACTGCACACGTCCATTAAAATGGTGATTTTCCGCAGCCAATGATACCTTTATATTCACTACGCTATCTTAAAAGTTTGACTTACTCATCGATTCGGTTTTGTCCTACATTACGAACCATAATTATTCATAATTTTTCCTTTTTGCATTTCGCAAAAACCAGTGGAACATTGGACAGGGTCAGGTTTGAGAAAAGCAACTACATCAGACAACACAATTACAGAACCTCCCTTTCTCCACAGAATAACTGCGTCAGAAATCGAAAGATTCAAAGTGATTTTTATCAGAAGCTCTTTGGTCGAGGAAAGAGACTTTCTCCAAATTTTTCTCTTCCCCCTCTTCAGCATCTACATATGGAGTAGTAGATATTTGCACATCAATTCTTAGTCAGGCTGAGACTAAGGTCTGCGAGGTGTTGTTCGCATGACAGATTGAAGGTCAACTCTTGGTAAAGGGAGAGTCTTCAAGCACTGCTTCGTGTTGCCGAAATACACCAACTTTTTGCCTATTTCTGACAATCATAAGCAACAAGAGATGGCTCCATTGCTGCGTAGTAGGGACTGAAACTACCTCAAATTTGGCCTTTTTTAACTTTCATTCTGAATTGCATACGCTTGTAAGAGCGAGAGACCAGACAATGTGCCTAGACTATTCAGAAACCTCCGAATTCCTGATTACAACGAAAAGATCAGTAATGTACTCAACTAATCGTTGCTTTACTTCCGCCATAGTTGAATTTCGCTACATGGATCAGCAATGGAACTGTCAGGGTTATTGTTTTATTTAAAATCCATAAAAATGGACCTGAACCATGACTGAGTAACATATCTGGTGCTCGCACAAGGGGCATTCATTTCAGCTTAGGGCTTGTCACTGAACTTCATGTAGGGAATACCAACGCCATAACCGAACGCAGTACTCCGAGCTTCCTAGAAAACAAGCAGTCTATGAAGTGACTACCGCGCCAAACAGGCACGTCAAAGACTTCAATAAGATGTAGAGAATGCAGTCAAACAGCCTTTTGCTTACTTACTGCTGAAATACATCTTGGTTTAAAATGGAAACCTAAAAGGAATGAAGATGTCTTGCAGAAGAAACCAAACTATGTTTACTTTTGTAGCATTCTTGTTCAGAACCACCAGCATTCAGTCTACAAAATCTCTGGGGAGATTAGAAAAGTCCCTCACGGGTGGATCATCAGCATCAATTGGATACACTATTTTGCCGTCGCCTAAATCGAGTAATTCACGTTTTCTTGGACTGAGGGTCCATGCCGCTAGCAGAATATTTCCTTTTGTGTACGGATTACTTGCAGTTGGTGAGTAGCGAGGATAGTTTGAAGATGAATGCGCTGTCACACGCTCCCATCAAGAACGTCAGAGATGTATAACACGATATTTTCAGGGTCTCGCTTGAACAAAACTTATAAGCAAGTCTCTTACCGCCAAACGGATAAATAGTCAGTGAGTAGGGAAAATGACTGACTTATCATTGGGGAATTTTGTTTTTGAGGGGTTGACGTGAATCAGAATACCTACCAGGGAAGTTTTGCGCTTCGATTCCGAGGGGCAAAGCAATTTCTCGTTTCTACAAAAAAGAAAGTCATCCGTTTATAAAATAAAAGTCTACCAAGTGTTATTTTGAGCCCTGGCAATAACTGAAGAAGTGATAAATCAAAATGAATTAGCCGGTGTGTCATCCACTGTGCTGAAAATTCTGCTAGTTTCCAAGCCAAGACCCTTGAATTTTGCTGAGTTTTTACTACAGAAGCATATTACGATCTCAGAATTCTGTCCAACGCGACGATGGACTATTCTGAATAGGACTTCGGTTGTCAGTAGGTCCTTGGGAAAGGAATAACAGATAAATCAAATCACTTGTAAAACCTGACCGTTGAAGAAATGAAACAACCAGGTGAAACAACTCAAAAGTGTCAACGAAAAGTTAATGCGTTTGACTTCTCTACGCCAACCTGATGAACCATGAAAACAGCTATAGAAGGAGCGATGTTCTGAAAAGTTTTCAGGAACCTTATGAGTAGTATGTCAAGCTAGAAAAATAGCTGATAATTGTACTCGGTGAAAACAGCGCTTGTTTGTTGACACGGGTTAGTAGATTGATATCGCCACTGTTTTTTAATCAGAACTAGAAATTCATGACAAAACAAGTGCACAACAGGCCTTGTTTAGTATTTTGGTTCGGCTAATATTAATTTGGTTTAGGCAGACTGCTGCGAATGTATGGATGGATAAAGAATGAAAGTTCTGTGGTACTGGAGCATATTTTTTTGCTACAAAGGCAGGCGTACACTTCACAGGTATCACCAAGGAGACTAATCCTGCTTGTTTCCTCTTCATGTAATGCTGAGTCGCAGTTTCATCACAAATGGGGCTTCCTATGTCAAGTCGGGTTTTTAACACACTACTGAAAATGAGAACAATGAAAACAGCATGGCCTCACTGCAATGTGTCATTTAGCTCCGATTGTGGAATTGCCAGTAACGAATCCAAAGAGCAAGATGAATAGCTGTCATCGAACGGTACCGCAATGCAGTTCGAGGAGATCCCGGAGGACATGTTTTCCCTGCAAAAAAGACAATTGAATTCAGATTCGACCACACTGCTGATGAGAATAAGCCTGTACTAAACAAGTAGTGACGTCGGTTCGAAGTAGATCCTCTGTCAAACGAGCTTTGGAAACTATCTACCAGTTGATCACGTGTTGGGTTGCTAGTCAACTTTGGCAGTCAGTTAGCTTGCAGAGGTTCCGCCACCAGTCAAGGAGCTGTCATCAGTACGCGGCTGGGGAGGTACTTTCTCCTTTCTCGTTTGGATTTAAATAGCTTTAGAAGACTATTTGATATCCTTTGCTGTGATTGGTTAACTGTTAAGCGGCTTTCTCGTATTCTATTGTACCATCTGCACCAGCTTCTTTTAGGCAAATGAATTATTCAGCCAACTTAAAAATGCGTGAAGCTGACTCACTGCACTTTGCTGTTCCGTTAACATCCGAGGTTCGATGAATGATGATCCCTCAACACTTGTCGTAATACAGAAACATTGCATGTATATTCCAGATGGACGTTATTTACTAATCAATGATTTGTGAGAAATAAGTAAACTACAGTAACTAAGCCCTACCCACTGCTAAAAATTCTTCTCGAAAGGTGTAGTTGTTTCCTTTTGGTGGATTCATCAAACGTATCCACTTCTATTGCATTCTTCTACTTGCTCTTGGCCTGATAAAACACAAGAAAGGGCTGTCAAAAATTTATCAGAAGAAGACAACCCGTACTGTTGTATTTGGCGGTTAATCAGATTTTGAAATACAACTAGTAATAAAGCGTACCCCTGGAGCTTGAAACACGGGGACAGTCAAGGTCAGTTTAGTCCTAATGTAATTAACCTAATCGAGGTTTCCGCAACTAAGTTCACACGATGATTAACCAGATAGACAAGCGCTGCCTGCTTGTGTAAAAATACGGAAGTTGGTGCTTTGTACATAGCCTGTCTTTTTAGTGTTAGGCTTCATTGAGGCCTTTAGGCGGGGGGAGTATGGGACGAAATTCTGGGCTACTTCTTGAAGCCAACGGCGGACATGCCTACAGTCGTCTGGTTAATGCAGTCTAAATGTGGATGCCGCCAGCCTGACAAGGGTGAAGTAGATCTTTAATTTAGGAATCGAGAGAACTATCGCACAAATACCGTCAGAAAGCCTGCTTTGCAGACCCAACCCTGATGAACCGGACCGCACACGATGGAAACTAGCTCGAAATTTCAGATAACTTCAAAGCCTTTCCAAAAAGAACTCACCCAAATAGCTCGCTAGAACACTGTTCAAGGTCATGAACGGTGTATCCCAATCCGCTGGGTGCACTGGAATAAGAGAGGTGTCATCAAATACATCATGTGGTTACACTAATATCAATATCTTTAACTAATATGAATGACTGGCATCCGAGTCGGATGTGACGGACAGGAGTGGTCAAAACAATGGACAACTGTGCACAGTATGAAACCACAACCATATTACTCGGAGTCGAATATCGCAAGCCCTTGGCGCAACTCCCAAGGTTTAAAATCGATGGACAAACGATCCCAACATGACGGCATAACAACGGGCCTCGACGCCAGTTAATTTATTATCATCAATGCACCTCCTTTGTCTGTCAATTCCTGTAAGATTCCGGTTAAAAACAGCTCCCATCAGGAAACCGTCAAGGTGGTAGTGGATAACCTGTTGGTCGTTAGCTTCTGGGAGGGAAGTACGTCATCCTGATACGTCACAGCTGACCAGTCCCGTCTAGAATTGGACAACTTACAGGCAGTTATGTCCTTGTTTCAAACTCAGGTTTTTTGACAACTACGCACCGGAAATTTAACATTCGACTCTCCAAAGGAGGCCAAGAAGAGGTTGCCTAAATACCACTTTCGCATAGTGCTTTTTTCACGGGGCTCGATATCCCCGATGCTGCAAGTATAGAGCACAGTTTGGAACAAATAACCAGGCTGATAGTGTGAACAGGCTTTGAATTTTTCAACTGAGATTTCTCACTATAAGTGAAGACGGTCAGTGTTCCAAAGCCAAGAAATACTATACGCCTGTTTCATCTTTAACGCAGTACGCAGCGCAAGAGTTTCGATACTTCGACCTCTCGACTATTAGCTGGACACTTGAACGTTCGGCTACAGCCGCTAATCAGTAATGTGATTGGCTTTCACCTAAACTGAATACGGTACAACTGAGCCATCAATCACAGAAACCAGATCACGTGGTCACTTATTGACTCGATCCTCGAGGGACGACTTTTCGGAAGGCTGCCAATTGTACTCCATTCTAAACTACTTACAGTCATTAGGTAGTGAGGAAACTTTGGAATTCTCCACACCAAGTAAATACGGTTGCTTTTTCAACAAGCCTAAAGGAAAATAAGATTGAAGATTAGAGATCATAAGTTTTTCGAAAGCAGAATATACGACAACATTCTTCTTTTGATAGTTAGTGTCGTTTTTACTGTCTGTTGATGCGCTTTCCTTGAAAAAAAGTTAGGCAATCGTGGACCCAAATCAAAAGCAGAATGGGAAAACTCGGAAGGTTGAAATACCGGCTTTTCAAAACAGGAAACTTCGGGTATTCCGCCTTTCACATTTCCAGGTTACCGAAGATTCGTTAATAGTCTGGCGGAATAGCACACCATTTGGTCCACCCCATAATTCGTAAACTGTAAAAGTATAGAGATTATCCGAAAACGGTGTCCTATGCAGCCATCCGGTAAAAATAACGGTTTGTAACGCAAGGCAAATGATGAGGCGGTAGCCGATAAAAGTTGGCCTGAGGTTGGGAGACTACTGGTGCTGTACCCTTCATACGTCAAAGTAATCACTCCTACTCAGTCAACTGTGCAACCAACAAGAGTCCACACTACATTTTGGTGCGCTACGGGTTACAGATTCGTCATATGCGCCTAACAACGATTCAACATTGGTAGTACACCTGACTTTTACCTGCTCATTCTTTTCCGTGTTCACATGATATTCTCATCTTTTCGGAAAAGTTTTGTACCAATCGGTAGATTTATTGCTGGGCAGCGTTTTGCTTTTGACACAAAAGCTTTGTCAGGTGAAGTGACTAGGTTACGAGGTTGGTCGAGATTTAGGGCGGAAGAAGAACCAATCAGCTAAGTTAAGCTAAATCTGCCTTAGGTGTCAGCCAAGGGATTTTGTGTGTTACTTTGGGTCACCTAATGTTAAGCCGATGGGGAACACTACATGGATTTGTGGCCATCTTAGTTTCTAGTTCCTCCGGTTCGGTCCCTGTTGAATGTTGTTTATACTTTTCGTCCGGTGGTGTGGATGAGCTGGTGCTACGGTAGTTGTGTAAGGAAGAGAGATTCCGTGAACTTTGGTTTGGTTTGGTTTTCTATCCACCTCTTTGTCAATGGTTCTACGTAGATTGCTAACCACACACAGTCACGTGTCGACTCGGGTTACCTAAGACCGCGTCCTATGCGCTCGCCAATTCCACATGCGCTATTCCGTTCACGCTATGATGCTTGGTAATTTCTACTGCCTCGGCTATCAGCCGCTGCAGTGTGAATCGGAGTCCCCGTCTTGAGACTTCCAAGTTCTCCATCGCTGAGTCTTTGACCAGCGTTTGGTATCCTTCCGAATTCCTTGGTGGTTTGTTTATTCTAATTTTGTGCTCACCAATTCTGGTGTGTAATTCATAACGGTTAGTCCTATGTAAACCTTAGTGCAATCGTTGCAGCTAATTTTATACACACAGTCCCTAGGCCTTTCAGCCGAGAGTGAAACGTTGCCAAGAAATAAATCTACCGATTGTCACCAAACGTTTCCGAAAGCGATGACTAATCAAACGGTTTCAAGCATTTTTTTAACTAGTTGATTATTCCCATCTTGTTTGTTTTCTCAACAAAGGTGAATACTTTTTGTCAGACGACCGTCACTCACTTCGATTCAACTTCAAACAGAACGCTCCCTTCGAAAAATTCTTTCGTCTACATTCTATCCCTCGTTGTAAGCTCGATATTTTGTGAAAGGGGATCGTTGGTACCTTCCACACACGACGATTTGGTAGCGCATGCCTGTATGAGGGAAGCAAACTTTTGGGCCCCTGGTAATTCACAGAAGTTCATGACGACTTGCAAATACAGTGTGATTAAAGAGTTTAACTTTTTGTACTGCACTACCCGTAAGGTTGCTGAAAATTCGTCGACAGCCCACGAACCTTTTCGCCCTTCTTGGGATTCATCAGGTAGGCGCAGTCCCCTAGTTTCCGTCAACCTTGTGTTCTACTTGAAACCAAGAAGGGCAAAACTGGCCGTGGGCTGTCGACGAATTTTCAGCAACCTTATGAGTAGTGCATTACAAATGTATACATGTATCGCGATATCTCGAATATCGTAGCGGCTGAAACATGAGGCGGCCTGGTTCAGCACATTCAGTTGTCTGGAAACATCACAAACTAGAGGTTCAGCTGGTTTCCAGGTTAGTCTCTCAGAAAAAAACAAATTAGTTTGCAAATGAGCTTCCTTTTTTAGTTGGTAACTGAACCAGAGTCACAATCACTATAATCTCAGTAGTATTATCCATTTTGGGTGTTTTTGGACACGGGTGCGCGATTTGATATGTTGATTGAGCTGACATGTTACTCAACCACCTACACCTTAATTTTCGGATGACCCGAAAACCAAAGCTGGTCCAACGAAATCAAGCTGCATTCAATGGTTTAAAAACTGTGAAAGGTAAAGACAATGGTACCCTGGACGATGGATCACTCAAAGGCGGCTAAGACGGACTACAACCTAGCATAGGCTGTGAACATAGAAAAAACTCGGGGTGGATGGGGCTACAAATATCCAACCATCCTATTGATGGAGGATCCAATGCGACAAGGTGGAGCACAAATCCGTGTGTTGGAATCCAACTCCCATGATCGACTAAAAGGCCAAAGTCTACCTCATCATCTACCAAGTAGTACACGTTTGTGACAATCCATATAAGCTGATCAGAGTGATTCCTTCGTTGGTGAGTATTTCGATGGAGGTAGAAGGCTCTATGGAATTTGCTTCTACGTAAGATCCATTTCATTGAAATATGATTTGCGATTGTTTGCCAGTGAATGTAGTCTCCTAACTTCGAGGTGGGACAACCACTCTATTACTTCCGAGTTTGTCTGGGTTTTCGAAGCGTTGGTATCCTACCTGAGGTATAATTTCCAAGGAACTATCTGCGACTGAATGGATTTCTTATTCTCACCTAGGCTGCTGGTACTCACTCCTAATTGGCTCATACCTACAAGAACTGAACGGTTGCTTTTCCTACAGTGGTAACACGCTCTCTCACGTGTACTTGCGTTGCGCTCAACTTTGTCCAAAGTTTATAGAATGGGACTGCTAGTTATTCCGAGAGCTACGTGAGTATGCGGTTTAGACCTTTAGTATTGCTTCATTTGAACGCTCTGTATTGAACAGTTAAAGGTAAAACATTTTCACACTATGTGAAGCGTTCTAGCAAGCTGAACGGACAACTAGACATCCAGATACCCTGAGTGACCAGACCAATCAATACGTTGAAATAAATGTCTCCTAGTCTCAGATCATTCAGTACTCATAAGGTGGCTGAAAACACTTCGACAGCCCACGATCGGATTCGTCAACCTCGAGCCTTATCAAGTCCCCATCAACCTTATGGTCTGATTGAAACCAAAAAGGATAGACTTCGAAAAATACACTCATTTTCATATCAATTTGGTTGAGCCCGAAAAAGGGCGAAACAGGTTGTGGGCTGTGGAAGTGTTCCGAGCAACCTCGTTAGTAGTCTCCCTTAAAAACTATGCTACCTATCCCGAAAATCGTACCAACTGAAACATGAGTCGGCCTGGTGCAGCACATTCAGTTACTCAAGTGTATGATAAACAAGAGATTCAGCTGGACTCCATATGAGGTTTCCGCCAAAAACAAATTGATATGAAAATGAGTGCATTAGCCTAAATTCAGTTGAAAGCTGGAGATCATACCCGGAGTCATCCGAATTTCCACTATTGGAATGGCCTTAAAGTAAGTTTGAAAAACTCTCTTATTTTAGGTCACGGGAACACCCGGTACTGGACAAATTGGCATGAAAAACTCCTATCCGCAGAGGCGTATGAAGCTTTGAGGCATGATGCCCTGCAATGCTCAAAAACAGGCAATTTTTTCAGGAGGGTCTGAATACTCCTTATGCAAACACAATACTATGGGCTTACGCAACAGGCAGACACATTTATCTTAGTAGGAACGGCCTTGTCGGTCACCAGCGTTCTTTCTTATACATCTGACGAACGCAAGCGACCGGAATCCAGAAAGGTTTGTTTCAGCTTCTGCTAACGAAGCTCTTCCAGACTTTGTCATCTCATGGATGACAGCGTTAGTAATTGTTATCAATTAAATACCACAGAATTTTCAGCTACCACCCCCTCGGAGCACTAATGGTCATCTCCTAGTAAGACTTGCATGATGCCCTGCCGAAGATAGTACGTGGAAACTTGTGGAAAGTGACTGAGGACGCCAGTAACTTGATGCTAAATGGATGACAATGTTGATACGTCTTCGTTTTTTGGTCGTCTGGTGGCTTATGCCAAGACCGTGCACGTTCTTTCGACTCATGACTTCTGGCTGTACGCATATTCTAGTGGTTTGACCAATATGCACCGTTCACTCCACTTTGGATGCCAGCTATTCACGCTTTGATTTGTCTCGAACAAACCATTTTCGAAAATATCTGGTTGCGGTAGAGATCACACTGGTCCAGATGTAATCTAGATGATACCCTTAGAAATGAACCAATAGGAATCACTTTTCCTATCCATAGGCAAACAGACAAATATTGGTTAAGTACTAGTCGATTACGAGTATTTCAGCTTCCTGGTGTTGGTCATTTTGAGTAGATATGGGGAAAAATTATTTGCTAATTTTCTATCCACTCTATTGTTTATCAGCACAGTAATGATCCGTGTGAGTGGACAGCCTGATTTAGGGAGGAACCAGTATAGTTCGTTTGGCCTTTAAACGACTAATACGGCTGCACATCAGCCTATTACGCACCGGAACAATCATGTGAAACAGTGCCGTGCGATTACGCCCACACGTCTGAATCACGTCTGATTTCATCATGTGCCGGAGAAAGGTCAAAAGGGACACATGAAGTTCACGCCCACACCAAGGCACCCCGCACACAAGCGCACAGACGGCCATCTATGACCAACCGAGACTAAGGGATAAACGCCCGGGAACCGGTGTGGGCGTTCAGGAGACAGACTGGTTGATTGACAGCGGATCAACCATCGAATAAGGTCACAAGTGAATCATATAAATAGAATATTGTAATTGCATTACAGTTTCTCTGGCCGCCTTGTCTTCTGACTACAACCCAGTAGCGTCAGGGAAGGTGAAGAGATACAGCATTGACTCAGTTGTTTGAACACACGGTCGCATAAAAACAACCATGTGGCAAGTAGCTGCATGAATTACACAAAGTGTATGCACGCCTTCCTTTCTGGAAATCGGATAAGTAAACCACTCAAAGAACCTCTAACATCTAGCGGCAATTTATGGAAAGTGGAATAGCCAAGAATCTGTCTACATTACTACCGTTTCACCTAGAACAGAAAGCGCCAGTAGGGGAACTTTCGTGACCAACCATCGAAGGAGTGTCCTTGATCGATTAATCCATGAACAAATGCAAAGTCCATTCAGAATCCTTTGGTCCATTTGTTGCTGACAGAACAGTGCATGTCTGAGTAGAATCCAAAGAAACTGTGGACAAGCTGGTCATACACGAGGTGTTTCATTCAGTTCGGCCAAAAATTAATTATTTGATTGAGAGGTACACGGTAAGCAATCGCGAGTTGCTTTTGAAATTAGCATTTTTTAACTGGTGTCTATTTCAATATCTTCTTTCCGACATTGTTTGTCACTACATGCTTCGGCGATTTTGCGATCCATTCCATTGGACTCACTCAGTCAAAACACTGCAGTTGTTTCTTGGTAGATATAACCGTTCTTGGAACCTCTGATCAGTACGAAGAGACTGCTGAAGTTAGAAGATTAATTCACTTTTCTTTTGAACGGGATGAGAGCATATGTTAAAAAAAAATGGGTCGTACACCGTGAGCTCACTGCTGAACACCCCTCAATGTGCACTACAAAAGAACTTTGAATGGAAAAAGTTGTAAAGGTGGCACCCCTTTGAAAACATTTCTTTTTCACATTTCTGAATATCTTGTTGTTCAGGTTGGGAGGGAACCGTTTTGCCTGAAAGCATGATTTATTCTACCCCGAAATTGGTAGACAAGCTACTAGGACGTTTTGAGTAGTAACAAACTGATTCAAAATTTCATCGGGAGACTTATCAGTTTTCGACGACCTGAAAACATACAGAGCATTTATAGGCATGATTATGTGAGCAGACGTCCTGACACCATCGAGTGGTGTAACGTTAATTACAAACATGTTTAAACTTACGAAGGGTAATTCGACCCATGTACCAGTGGAACATTTGGATTTAAGTACTGCGCATCCGGTAGACCGAGTTCCGAGTACTGAGGGGGCGGCGTCTGCAGACACGAGAAATTCTCACAGTTCTGACCAGGCAAAACGCCTATATGTTTGTAGGTGTTATCTGGTGCATTCGGATAGTTTCTGAAACAATGAAGATGGGGTTTTTATGTGTTCATCTTTGGTTTGTTGATGACAAATCTGCAAAAATTGTCGCGACAAAAACGGAAGACTCATGATGATATGAGAAAAGTTGCCTGTGTTTAATAGAGAATTCACCAACCTGAAAAACCAAGGAGCAATCTACGGATGTTCTATTCCTGTTAAGAACCTTTAGCGGTGCACGTTTCACAAAACTCAGATAGTTCGAACTAACAACCTTCCAACTAATTATGGACCACTTAACGGTCCAGCCGCAACCGGTTGATCAGCAGAGTGATTAGTTTCCAGTTAGACAGGACACAGAGCCACTCACTGCCCATTCAAAGAAACCATACTACAATGGTTACTTGTTTACTGGCTCCTCTAATGATATTTTCTCGGAAGGAAGTTTCTCTCATCTTTTGAAATCATTAAAACGGAAATGATTCCGTCCTATTCATCACATTAGGTACGCCGCGGTTCCAAGAATAACCAGAAAAGTTTTAGCTTCTTTCTCCCTGGCTGGAGAAAAGAAATAGTCCATAAACACATTAAAGATTGTTCATCGCGTGAGGCTATTGGTCTTCTCAGATAAAACAACCCTAATCACAGCTCTATACTGCACAGAAAGCCTAAATGGGGAAACATACTGTCACATGAACGAACTTGTGATTGCTACAGAGCACAACAAAATAACCTCAAAGGATGACCTCGAAGGTGAATTTTGAGCGGAACTCACTGGAATTCAGCATTGATAATTATTTCATTTGAATGTTATCTTTTAACAGTTCTATACCGTACTGAAATATATTCATTTTCAAGTCAATTCCTTCGTGATTCATCCCCTTTAAACCTGGATGTCGTTTCTAATACTGCGCATCGCCTTGTAGCCCAAAACATGGATAGTCTTGTAACTACGTTGCTAGGACCTAAAGAAAAGTACATCGATTGATGCTTTGATCAGCTCTGTTTTTTGACCTCGTGGCCATCCATCTCTGAGCACATCGCACCAGTGGTTTCCACTTAGATGTTTGATTACTACAGACAGAATGCGATGAACGAGGTAAGGCCCGCTGACAGCTCATATCAGAGTACGATTCTACCTGAGTAGTCGGCACAACCACCGACCCACTGCTATGCTTCCTAACTACGCCCTGATGATGTTCCCCCGATTGTTGGTGAAACGTTTACAATCAAACTGTTCAACGAACTAACAGCTATCAGCGATACCTGAGATACCAACATTCTCCTCAATAGATTGCGTTTTTCATTGTTGGATCTTTCAACGCTCTGGGAGAAACACTGCATGTTCCTCTAACTTCTGGAACTATTGGCCCCAGACGGGCGTAGACCACTCAAACTAAGCATTAGATATGTAGACTTTTGGATAATTTCAACTAATTTTGTAACGCATACTAATTTTAGTAAGAGTATGAAACAAATGTCTTTTAATCTGCACCTAGCATTTACTACATTTTCAGTCAAGATAATCGCGATTGTTGCGGAGTCTGGCATTCGCTTGCACGCTGACATCGTCCATTTGACATTCATCTAAATTCTGTGATAGTCTTAAATAAAAGTCTTGCACAAAATTTTGTCAGGGTATGGTTTTTTGCCTACATCAAAGACGAAACCTCATTGATAGTGTTTTAAATTGCCTCGCAAACAAAGCGTATTTGAAGTTCATATAGCTCATAACCCGTTATAAACGTGTTTCATTCTAATGCTCCTTAAATTTCTCCACAGGGAAGAAGCCATACACCCAGTGTATTTCATTTCCGTCTAATTTCTGTAAAACCTGAATATGGTCTGTTTGTCGAACCGTGTGTAAATTTGCATGAGTGATATGCTCACCATCTTTCGGTTCAGTTCTTGAGTCTGAAAACACGTAACTTTGCAAATAGGAAAACAGCAAACCCCAAACAGAGACGCTTGCTAAAAGTGTCAACAATATGGTCAAACGGATGATAATTCCCATTGGTGGCCTTATCAGATCTGCTAATTTTTAATAATGAATTGAACTGATGGGTGCCACTTGATCCTTGGAGAATGATAGGGTTTATCGAACTCGTGTGAAAGCTGTGATCCCTATACATAGAATCTTTTATGAACATGAGTTCCCCGGTTGCAACACTCTCTTTTAAACGACCCTTCACGGCGAATAATTTATCCATCCCTCCAAACCTCTCTTTGACCGTTTCCAAACACAGAGGTCACAGCCTGGACTGTGCTCACACAATCACAACAATGACCTATATCACAATTCTGTCCGTCCACTTCAGAGGGGGTCCGGCAGTTAAAAATCGCGGAAGGAACAATGTTTTACATTCATTACCGCATCGAAGGCACTTTAACTTTCACATTTAGACGTTGCTACGACCAACACGTCTACCCGCACGCGATTGGCCAGAATGTCGAACCGCTTGCCGGTCCAACTTCAAGGCGAGCTCTGATTGGCCGAAATTATGGACCCAACAGATAATCGTGATTCAGTATCTGTCGAATGCCGGTTGCCAGTAGCGCGTCCAGAAGGCATCGGGATTCCCAGAATGTTGTCGCCGCATACACCTTATGAACGAGGCGCTGTACACGTGTTTTTCTCCTGGTTCTGGGCGTTAATAAAAAATTGTGCACCTTTTGTAGCTGTTTTGTCGGGAACGCTAGCTTAGAAGCTTCAGACCGAGAACGAAACTGAGGTATTACTACATCTAGCCTAGTGGTAATGTTCTTGATTCCGTCCAAAAGATTATGAGTTAAGATCCTCGTATAGATATGCTAGATGTGCACTGCTGAGTACTGCAGGGCTTATGAAAAGGAGAGGTAGACTTTCAACTGAATACCTACCACTGAATTGCAGGAAATAGCGAAGAATATTACTTACAAACTTTGTTAGCTAGAGAAGTTGTTATTCGACAGGAAAGATGCTCCTAAAAGAGAGCCACTAACTAAACCAAATCGTTGACTTCCTTACTTTCCAAGTTTAATTTTTGTACCCTGTCTACACTTGCTTTGACTCAATTTGATAAAACAGTAGGTGACTCACACTGGATCCGCACCAAATGCCCTTTTGTTCTGTAACCTTTGCAGGTCACTCAGCCCGTCATTCTGGCTTGAACAAGAGTTCAGTCTAATAGAGGATGGCAAACGGTCATCCCGACATGCGAGGTTAGTTGAACCCGTATGATTCCTGCAAAAAGAATGAAAAAACACCATAGTTAAAGTGTTCACATTGCCTTGGAAGTAGGTCACTGAGCGCACTTGAAGAAGCAAGCAGTCACAATATAGGAACATTCTGTTACCAAACAAGACGTCTGCTTTCAATTGTACGCCCCACAGGCTCAGGGTCTTGCGGTCGTATTGAGCCTTATCACCATCATCGTTACTCCCATTATCTACTTGACCAGGTTAGAGTCAATCGTTAAAACTGTGAAAATGTCTGCCGCACAGCACGGCTGGTATCGACTCCAGGTCTAAGTGTTATCGCACACAGACACCTCAAGCATGCGTTTATAAGCCTCGATGGTTGATCATACAACCACTCTGTTAGGGAGTTTGATTTTGATCCAGAAAGCAGGTCGGCAAGCCAAGTTGTTTCCTACTTCTTCTTTACATATTTGCTGTCCCTGCTTGGTTAAATAGCCGTTTCATAATCAGGAGCTCCTACTACCCCAGAACCTGGCAAAGGAGGATGTCCATTGGAATGTAATACCCTTCAAGACCACGGAAGTTATGCGAACAAAATAGCACACCATTTACGTCGCGCAATATCCAACCCACCGTATGTGGGAACTATGTCGGTGATTTGTACCTCATCACTGGTCGGAAGAACTTCGCAAGCAGTCCTCGTTGCCCTCGTTCTCATGATGAGCGTCATCATCATCACTATCGCTTAAATTGTCCAAACCAAACGCCAAGTTGACTCACTGTAGAATAGATTTTTCAATAAACAATCGAAAAAATATAGATGTTCTTTGCTACTTTACTGAGTTACGCAGACCACAAGACTAGTTAGAACATAAATCGAAGGCCATGGACAAAATATGTAATTCGAAATTCAGGTACCGAAGGACCTAGTAAAAACACTAGTATGTCCCAAACTGTATATGTATTTGTATGACAACTGTCCAAAAGGAATATGGGACCCGTATTCGTGAGGCAGTGCGTATAATCCGGGATAGGGAAACGTGTTGAATCGAAATTGACGTCGCGTTTCATCTTTATCTGTACACGCTCAAACGCCTTCTGGACGGAAAATCAGTTCACGTATTTTACCCACAATTTTAACAGTGTCTACATTGCTCCTCAGAAGAATAGTTACTATCACAACAAGGTTATTTTCCTCTCAGATGACAGGTACACTGTCTCTGGTTCAGCATGGGCGCGGTCGTATTTTTCACGAGCAGTTGCCTCAACCTAATTACCTTGAATGCTGGACCAACCGGGTGAAGTCTTTGCAACAAGCTTTGTTCCGCTTGTGTACGTGAAACTTTAAACGAATTCACGAGTATATCCATCTGTCTTCCGGCAACCTATGCGAAGATCGATCGATACCAACGGAAAACGAAGAGTGCAGTGTAAATATACCGGGCCTAAAGTACCGTTTCTTCTATTCTCTATCAGCATTCCATAAGGCAGTTGACGAATTAGGTTGCCTTGGAAGAAAAAAATAATTAGGAAAAGAATATGAAGTTACGCTCAAATTTATCTGCTATCGGTGTGACTTGAATACTACTGATGAAGCTTGTGAGTAGCGTCAGGTGAAGTCTCAAAGTGCCGTCCCTGCATCTGATAGAAGGTGGATATAGAAACCATTGAGCCGCTTTGTAGAGTTTGTTCATGCTGCCTAATATTTTAACAGATCACTTTCGAGCGTGGTCACTTTCAAAATTCCGCGCAAATAAAGTGTTTACTATCGAGTCTGATAGTTTGTAACCGCTTAGTTCGTGTTGGCCAGTCAATGACTCCTTCTTCCTCCAGTACGTCTAGGTTTTACGTCCATACAGACTGACCGAGTTTAGGGGATTTCAAATAGATAAAAGGTTTTGGATGAGTCAGCTTGTGACCAAAAGCACCGATTTTTTAGAAATTTCCAAGGGTTCTTGGGATGGCTTATTTCGATGCTAGGAAAAATCGCATGTAGGAGAAAAAATTGTGAATCCTCTTGAGAGGTTGTTAATTATTCCTAAGTGGAATTAATCTGGAAAGTTTTATACTCCCCACGGTAATCAGTTCTACGACAGTTTCTTTAAGCCGGTGGTTATTTTAAGTTTGTTTCGTTATGGGACTAACCTGCTCAGGGGAAATGTTTAAAGACATGACGAATCAACGTACCAACTACACAAATGAGTAAATGCGCATACCATATTTTTTTCGAAATCATCGCATGTTATTACTGACGGAATATGTGGTGTGCTCATTTAAAGATCAAAATAATTTCCGGAATAATTGGAGGTTCGTCCCACGGTGCCTTGAAAAATCACCTAGACCTGTAAAAATCCTTAGCAAAACTGGTCTCCAACTGCAACGATTGGATCGGTTTGCTGTGATGAAGAATCAATTCGATACTCATTTTAGGTCTCACATACCTTGATAACAGTGAACCACCGAGCTGGCCTTGAGAATAATTCCTGTCCGAGCCTTCCCAAACGGGTTGGTTTTGCACTGAGTTCCAAGTGTATCCACGCGCGTCACAGTCAGGTAGTTTGGTCGAACGACCGTCACTATAAAGACAAAAAATGCATTCCAGTCAGTTGAAGCGAAAGAGACAGGTGAAGATCCATGACGTTTTGACAGGCCATTGCTTGTAGAGAAACTACCATTGATCACTCAGCAGCAACCTTCTGAAAAAAGTACAGCACAACCAATGGTCCACTTCGCTAGTACTTACCTGCACACCACACATTGTTAGCCTCATTCGGTCCTTGGTTCTGGAGTGTTCTGTGAACTTGTGAGTCGATCGACTCAACTCAAAAACAACTGAATCCTCAGCAGTTTGCCTTCAAACTGGAGAAGCTAAAATCATGACTAGTGTGATTACAAACTACCTGGGTGATACTAATCGCCAACTCAACCCAGCTCAACTTTTCAGTGTGATTTGTCGACTGCCGCCCAATCGTTCAAAGGTCACCCGCAAAAACACGCTTGAAACAAATGAGACGATTACAACGAAGTTGTGTCAACCAGTACTTCTAGGTTTTACGTCCATACGTTACCATAAAAGGCAAATGAAAGCAGTGAGTTTATCTTGGCTAATCAGCGATTTTTCCCCGCAGGGAACTGAAATACTCATTTCCACGCCAGGTACTTCTGAGTTTTAACTGATGTGGTCTCTCTTCTTGTTTCGTCAACTTTGTGAACTGCGGTTTCGAACTGCGGTGAAAGTGTTGCGATGTGAACCTCGTGGAGGCATTTCGAAACAAGTGAACTAGTTCCATCAGCCTCTCTAGCGTGTGTCTGTGTGACAGCATGCAGAAACGCTCAATTCTGGACCCAGATATCCCTTTGCAGTTAACCTATCCCACTTTCCCGGGCTTTCAACTAGAATACAATAATGACATTAGACGGCAGTTAAGATAGCCCATTCGCCACACTTATATCCTGGTTAACTGTTACTTAGCGTGAGACATCACTTGTATATTTTGGAGATGTAGTGTACCAGCGCGAGGAAAGCTTTATTGTTCATGATCGACTAAATCATCAGTATCATCAGTATCAGAGGTTTCCTAGATGGATTATCGTAATCAAGGCAAAATCATGGTACATAAGCTACTCATTTTTTAGGTATTCGAAAATCAATAGTTTTCGGTGTGCTTCCAAGCTGTTAGAGAGATGGTTGGGGGACCCGAAGTGCACTATGCCTTTGGGTTAGTGACTGTTTAGTGGTAACAGGAGAAAATCGGTGTTGTAATGGGATCCATGGTACTACAAGGCGAGCATCCGTCTTCAGATTTGTGTGATATATTAAGTCAATCTAGGTGAAACAAGTTGGTTGGTATGAACTACGATTTTGTCCAGAGTTGTGTGTGAAATAACACGAGCGCACTTTGACCCATGTAAACAGGAGGGAATAAGAAAAGAAACAAGAGGAAAAGAGCAGTTTTAAACTCAACTGCATCCAGCACTGATATAATTCGAATCGGATAAGGTAGAAAGGTTTGCGAACACAACGGATTTGCACCCGTGATGTCACAGACCGTTCGCGAGCCTCGGTAAGGTGGAACTTGTGTAACCAACTAGAGTGAGGTAGGAGACACCGTTGTTCGCATTATAACACTCGTATGATATCAATTTGAGTGCCCCCGTAATGAAAAGTTCGGCCCCAGACGAGTGCAGATATGCAAGAAAGTATGCAAGAAAGTATTTGGTTCTAGTCTTCTTCCAGCTCTAACCTTTAATCCTGCATTCGCGTAAATCTGGTCTCGTTTTGGCAAGGTAATGATAGATAGCGCCGACAAGTTGTGAAGCAATACTGCCAAGCTAGATTCATTGTCTACTTGATAAGCGCAATAGTTGATTGGTCCTTGGTTAAAACGGTCCAGAATTTGGTGTGTTCCGGTGAACAGTCCGAAAAAGCCTAAATGCAAAGCTCAACTACGCAGAGTTGATGGGTTTGATGCACAGAATATAGTCCCAAAAGTACTCACTGAGACGTGGGCAACAAATTTCAGAAATCGCTGGCTGCTGATTGGTTGCCATTTGCCATGCTCGGAGAAAGAACCATGTGCCACGTGATCAACAACCAATCAGTGGGAAGTGTTTTACAAAAAGTTGGTATATAGGCAAAACTGTGGTATATGTGCATATGGCATTCTAAAGCATAAATTGCATGAAAAATTACACATCTCGGTCAGACCAAGTGAATTAGGACTGCATCTAAAGACATCCGACGTGTTGGGGTGCGATATGACAGACTAGGGCGTATTTTGTTCAGCTCTGTTTGCCATTAGTTGGATAAGGAAGCTGTTCATAAAACTTTGGGAAGTTTTCTTTCGCAGGTACTTCACTCGGGGCAAACATCCAGCATCAGCGACTAAGATGGCTCGGTTGTGTGCTACGCATGTTGAAAGACCGTCTACGGAGACGAGTGTTGTTCCCCGTGCCTCCTTCAGAATGGCGGAAACCGCGAGGTGGAGAACGCATGACTTGACAGAAGCGTGTGAAAGAGATCACGAAGAGTTTGTGTGTTGTCGGTGTTGTACGCCTTCCAGGATGGGGTCCTCGTGACCCCATTTGTGCTTGACAGAAGACTTTGTAAGAAATGGCGGCTAATCAATGTTGTGGCGTTCCTGCTGACAGTTTCATGTAGGTGTAGGCACCTCAGAATGCTTGACATAGGCCACCACAAGCTTCTCTCCCTCACCCATGCTTTTCCTCTTCTTTTCACTCTAGGTCGTGAAATGTAATTAGACGAACCTTATGATTGTAAGGCAGTTTCAACACCAATGTAGCTGTCTGTGATGATGATTTTTGTCGCAGGTTATTCTAGATAATAGAACAAGCCACACACAAGTTACTGAATATATGTATCATGCAGTTTAACTCACCAGGTCTCATAAATTTCATGCAACAGCGTTGACTTCCAGCATTTGTTTCCAACAAACTCTCCACTTTCAAAGATCCCCTGAAGTCAAGACGGTAATCTTTTTTCTATTGCACAACAAAGTGAAATAACGAACGCTTTTTTTTACTCATAAAACTAGCACAAATATAAACAACGCCGGGACAACGAACTCTAGGACTAAATCGATTGGACTGGATACATAAAAATTATGGTTACAACTCGAATCACAACCAGTTAAGCATTTATTTGAGTTTGGAGATCTCTTTCTGAGCAGGCTACTAGTTCTGGTTGATTCCCTCTAGAAGAAATCACCCTGAATAAGGGATCAGTATTTTTCGTTCAGTTGTAATGGTCATCTAGAGAGGAATAACTGTCTATTCGTCGGCACAAGGAGGGAGATACCGACGGAGTTCCGGAGTGAGATTCACTCGAACCAGTCCCTTACTGGTTGAGTCCAACGCCAAAGAACAACATCGGCTTTCTATCTTCCTGTGAAGTATTTTGAGCCTTAAATCGATAATTTGTCCAGGTCTGAAAAGAATAGCTTTCAAACTTTCTTTGTGTGAATTCTATTCGGCTGGTCACAAGTGTCGATTTATGTCTTCCTTTTTGCACACAGAACCTACATGACTTATGTGGGATTCATATCAAACACAGACCAAGTGACTACACACACACTAACCGGTGTGGTCCGGCTATTTGTTCCTTCAATGGCCAAAATGAAGAAACTGTTATAGGCCGCCCAGTTGTAACGCTCGTTTGGTGCCAAGCTACCGTGCTACTCAAGGGAACCACAAGTGCTCAGACAATGTCGGGTTGCCTAAGCCTAGAGAGGAGCAGTCGAGAGATGCTGGGGTTAGGTTCGAACCACGGACATTTCTGGCGGCAATTTCGCTCCTTAACCACTGAGCCATCTCAAGCCTTGAGCCTCAAAATGTTGAACAGGGCGATTTAGTATAGTATTTTTGACATCACAAGTACCCCCACAGCGGGACACAGTGGTGTCTGTTGAGGAAGATAATGTACCAGAACGTCTCGTGGACAGCTTAGCCTTGTGTCACTCAACAGAAAATGGAACTCAAAGCGGTCACTCACTGTACCATATGTACGCTTTGAGATGAGTTCACGAAAGTAGTGCTTCATTTTTCAGAAAGATGTTTCCCTTGGATATCCCTCATCGCGTCACCATGGAACTACTCTTATCAGAACCTTCCACATCAACAACCTAAACATCATTTTCCTCGGATGCCTTCGTTTGGTGCTCGTGTTATCAGCATTTGCTGCTATTGCGTTTGTGGGTGTACCGCAGAACACCGATGTTGGAGAGCGCCACAAGAAACACAGGTTCAAACCAGATGTAATCACCAACCAACTTTTTGAAACTACCTAAGCATCAAGCGAAGAAATCCTTGAAGATCACTCACTGTTTATTTGTAATGCGCTACTCATAATTTTGCTGAGAATTCGTCGACAGCCCAAACGAGGGATTCAGCTGGGTTCCAGGTGAGTCTCTCGAAAAACCAAATTAGTTTGTAAATGAGTGTATTTCGCTAATTTCGTGCAATTTGGTTTCAAGTAGAACATAAGACTGACGGAAACTCGGGGACTGCGTCTACCTGATGAGCCCCAAGAAGGGCGAAACGAGTCGTGGGCTGTCGACGAATTTTCAGCAACTTTATGAGTAGTGCATTGCAAATATACATGTGTTACGATATTTTGAATATCGTAGCGACTGAAACATGAGGCGGCCTGGTGGAGCACATTCAGTCGCCTGGGAACATCACAACAAAGAGATTTAGCTGAGTTCCAGGGGAGTCTCTTGGAAATCCAAATTAGTTTGTAAATGAGTGTATATTTTCGCTAATCAGTCACTGTTAGTCCATCACGGGCAAGGAAAAGTCAAGACTTCTATTGCTCACAAACTTACTATCTGATTGTCCAACCCAGATTTTTACGTGAACCATGCGGAACACTTTGGATGGAGATGACGGAAATACAAGCACAGGCTGTTTCTGCCAGTCTAGTTTAAGATCTTGCTTGTTTAAGAGGAAGCCAGTTGGGATAGTTCTGTTTCTCGGCTGAACCATCGCACAATCATGGGAGCACCTGCTTTTTGGAACGCATCGAATGCAAAATTGTTGGTTATTTCGGTATCTATTCAGTAAATCGATTGGTTTTTAGGCAAATTAGGTCGTTTCTTGGAGATGGAGACATAGTATACTCATATCATCAAATTCTCCATCAGGTGCAAGAAATGACCAGAGGCGCAAAACGCTTGGTGCACCACCTTTTCCTTGCTCACTTGTTTCAAGAACGGAGTAGGCAAACTCTGGGTTTTCTGGCTCAGTATTTACAGCGCATATTTACTGACCGAAAGGTCCATGGTTCGAATTCCACCTCTGGATCTCGACTTCCTCTGTCTATGCTTGGACAACCTGGCAATATCCCAGCCCTTCTGCTTCCTCTGAGTGATATGGCAGCTAGGCGCTAAAAGGGTGTTACAGCTGAACAACGTTTTAGGCTAATTTGTACTTGCTTTTTGCTCACTGGGAACAATACGACTGTGCAAACTCACCCGTGTACGGATTTTTAGTAGTCGAATTCGGTCAGAAATTTCTCCCAGCGATTCTGCATCATCCCTCCTGAATTGAACAAGTTATCACAATTTAAAGGGGATTTTTTAAAATGAGTATTCTTGTTTAGAAGGCCTGTCAATCACATGCTAAGCGATACGGGACTATTCCAATCCATGGCCGGCCGTGACGTGGCTCTGGTGGTCCATAAGTCGGCAGTTCTCTCAACTTGGAGCACTATTGCCTGCCAGCTACCAGTGAAAGTAAAAAGGCCGTGGCTGCAAAGTTGCTTATTGGAAAACACCAACTGATCAGTTACAGACTATTGGACAGGGGAGTAAAACTCTCATGTGTCTTTCTGAACTTTACTGGATATTCATTGACTGTTACTCAAATACAAGCAAATGCTACGAAGTGATTCCACAAATCCCGTAAGGAATCTCACTTTTCAATAGACGTGAAGCGGACTTATGAGAAAACCACATGCTCCTCGCATGTCCCATTAGTAGTATCCACCGTTACACCAGAATGACGCTATAGAATCCCATTTGATTCCCCCGTGAAGTTGACTAAACGGTATTGTCAACCTGGTCTGAAGAAGTAGTGCTGAAGTATCCGTGTTTAATACTGCCAGATGTCAGTGAACTTGTATGTGCTCATTCTGTAATCATAAATACGTTTCAGATACGTGCTCTGTGGTCTGCAATTTCGCAGGCTCCAGTTTGATCGTTCTCCGCTTTAATCCCTACTTGAGTAGAAATTCCGTGACTGTCGTTCAGTTCCCTTTTTCAGACTGAGGAAGTTATTGTCCCTATTTTTCCTACCTGCAATGCTGTTTAACTGAAGATTGCTTGTTCCCAAGACGAACTCGATACTAAAGTTCACATAAAAGTAAAAAATCAATACATGAGCGAAAACAGGTCAACTCGAACTGGTAGTATGTGCGTTTGATGCACTTTCTTATGACTATTAGGTCTCGGATAATCTCCCATCTGATGTCAGATGAACCTCCGATGAAGTTCAAATTGATAGATTAAGTTGTTTGTAGGAAAATCATTTGTAAGAAACACCTGGTGTTTAGTGATATGGTATGCCCTAAAAGCGAGTATGCTAACCACAGGAAACGTCAGCGAATCCGAAATCGATTGCTAATCGTCTAAACGAAAGCTATTCGACAACCCACGACCAATTTAATCCATTTTGGGACCCTTCATTTCCCCAATGTTTCATCAGATTTAGGTTCTACTTGAACCCAAACTGGAAGTCAGTTTGCAACATTATCTCCTGCTCTNCGAAAACAGCAAACTGGTGCAAATATAAGTGTGTTTTATGAGCTGTCTACATCATGATTACAAGCACACCTCGAGACTGACGGATGTTCGGGGCCCAAGTAGAGCGAATAGGGTCATGCACTGTCGCAGTTTCCTCAGCAAACGTATGAACAATCGGTTTTGTCCAGGCAACCCCATATCGTACCAACTCAAATGTGGAGCGACCTCTGAGCGGCACCCAGCCGAAGGATATTCAACTAGGACTCTCCTGCCGGTTTAGTAAATTTGTATACTTACTTTGTGACTGACATTTTGTGCCACTGACCGTCCTCATGCTTTTTGGATGATATTTATATCATGAAATATGCTATTCCACAGTAATCCAAGTTTGGTCATTTCTGACCAATCAGTTATACTTCTCGAGAAAGAAATTAGGATGAAATCTAATCATACTCACAAACTCCTCATACTGCTATTAGTTTGGCTCGTCATCACTGTAACTCAATCACATCGGCAACGTTTACTTCATCGACCGTCTTTTTGAATTTAATCTGCTACGATCGCATTGCTTCTGTCGTGACCTCGATCCACGGTCATGCACTTTCACTTTCTTCGTCCGGCAGTTGTTCGAAAATTCACTGACGGTTGCTGGCGTATGTCAGCTGACCACGCATTAGTTCAAGACCTTAGTATCTTTTCGTTTATTTCGACAGAGATTAGGAAATAATTCATATTTTTTCATCAGCCTGAGAGACTTCTAGGGATTTGGTTGAACCTCACATTGGTAAAAACTCACTTTCGGTCGGTTGCATACAATTTGGTTTACGTAAGTTAAGCGTGGGGTCGACGAGAATCCTGAAACTGATTAGCCACAAGAAGGGGGAAACCAATTGTGTACTGGCAAAGACTTTTCAGCCAACTTTTGAGCAGCTTATCTAGTAAAAAGTACTTCGGGCTTACTGTTTTAAATCCTGTTTGTGCGACTCGTTTTCTGACATCGTGCCAACTCGAAGAGGAAACTTTGTTTCAATGGTTGGTGGATCGGATTTGCAGCAAAGCGATAGTTGTGCCTAACAGTGACGAATCCTGCAACTTTTCAAAAAATGGCAAATTTTGAGTAGAGGAGAACAACGACAACTGAAAGGTTGCGGTCAACTAATGAAGAATAACACCTGAATTCGTTCTGTCCCTTCGCCTAACATGATAATTTCAAACATCACAAACGAGAGATTAAGCTGGGTTCCAGGTGAGTCTCTCGAAAAACCAAATCAGTTTGCAAGTGAGTGTATATTCGCTAACTTCATGCTATTTGGTTTACAGTAGAACATAAGGTTGACGGAAACTCGAGGACTGGGCCTACCTGATGAGCCCCAAGGAGGGCGAAACCGGTCGTTAGCTGTCGACGAATTTTCAGCAACCAAAGGAGTAGTGCATTACGAATTTCAAAGTCCCTTTGGGTTGTGTTTACTTTGTTGCCAGCTAATTAATATGAACAAAAAATTCTGCGGTGAATACAACAAACGACTAATTAAGCCACTTTCTCAGGGTGATGGTTGAACAGTTTCGGCCCATCATTAAAATCTTACAGTCTGCTTGTCTGATCTGTTCATTTTTTAAATCATTATGGACTAGAATTAGAGGTTTCGAGAAATACACTCATTTGCAAATCAATTTGGTTTTCAAGGGACTCAACTGAATCTCTCGTTTATGCTATTCTACAACTAAATGTGCTACACACAGGCCGTCTCATGTTTCAGTTGGCACGATATTCGAGATATCGCAGTATATTTTCACAAAGGAACCTACTCACAAGGTTGCTGAAGAGTCGGAGAGTTTTCAACAACCATGTGAGTAGTTCCCTTGAAAATTAGAGTTCTTTTTCAAATCCCATTTACTTGAGTAGTCCATTTTTCTCGTTCTGGCTTGTTTGTCCTAGTTCTTTTATTCTAGACTCGGTTTTTTATTTTGGTGGAGCTGAACATTGGTGCACACCCTTGGTTCTGTCAGACTGCCAGTAGGAACTCGGTCATTTCGAGGAGTTTCCTGGTGATTTTTTCTGGTATTTCTCCTTGATGTTGGACTGTACTGTAAATTATCCCTTAAATTTGGGTTTTTATCTCCGATTGGACTGTTTTCTCCTGAAAGCTTCCACAAGTGTGCAAGACCAGTCACACAAGTCCACTGGAAACGTTAGGCAAAGGTAAAGTGCAATTGAGTTACGACACTCAGCGAGTCTGTGAAGGACTTTCCGCTGCAGAAAACTCCTTTATAATAACAGCCAATCAGGTTCACTGTTTTATCAGAGACTGATGAACCGAGGGTTAGAAAAGGACTATTGAAACGGTAAAAGAAGACGGATATCATCCAGGATAGTTTACAGACAGACTTTCAATATACTGGCTCTGACTTGACTGTTCTTATCTGTCGAAAATCCTATTGTATTATATTGCATTTACACAGTTCCAAGTGTCCATGCTCTTTGGCTTAAATTATCAGGGCTTGAAAAAGCCTGTACGCTGGTTAACAAAACCCCGGAATTCGCCTGAGAGTTTCACTTGTGGCATATGGTTGCGCAAAGCAACCATTATTAAGTAACTTGTGTATTAAAACTCTGCTTATAACCACGGAGTTGATTTATCCTGGAAATCCTTTAGGCCAGTTTGATGTAGCCAATCAAAAAGTCCATCACAGGAGCAGGAGCCATCATTTTCATCCAAAAAAATTTACCACCAATGCTGAGATTGTGAATCAGTATTTAGCCCCGCGTCTTCTTAATTATTGTTTGGCTGATCTATCCAATCACCAGTAAATTTCGTCCAAAAATTCATCATTTCGAAGGCCAACCCACGTTGAATCACGTGACATGAACTGAGTGTGAAGTGACCACTCTACTTATCAGCCACCCGTAGCCCAGTTTATAGAGTGAAAAGCGATTAACCTCGAGACATCGGGTTGGAATCGCTACGGGATTCTTGCGAGTTGTTGAGTGTATGATTGCAAACAAGGATAAAACAGCCGAAATTTTCTGGTTGAAAGCTTCGCCGATACTGCATAACCTCATTGAATTGATGAGAACGTATCATACAGTTCAGATAACGAAGACCAAACGCGTTTGCTTTGCTTGAAATGTAGAAGAAAAGTTGTTGTTTCCGGAGGCCCATCAGATCCGGAAAAAGTCTTCTTGAACGGGGGCAAAATAAAATCTTCATTACCCATGCAATTCATTAGGTCATAGCGAGACTTGTTCTGCCACTGGGACTGAAAACTCACCAAGAAGTGTTTTCTAATAGCCCTTATTTTGAGTACAGTCTATGTTTGATATTGAAATGAATGCAAAAACCATCATGGTTTGGAAGATTCAACAGGAAATAGATGTGGATGCTCACATGACCATAGTAAAAAGCTTCGGGGTGTAAACTCTAAACCAAAATCAATCCGATCTTCAGAGCTATTAGCCATTAGATAATAAGGAAAACTACCGTGAATCACCATGAATAAATAGGCAGTTCAGAGGAGGGGAAGCATGTGTGAAATTTCGTTCAAACATGTCGTCACTCGAGGAGCCAGTGAGTAGGTGACCACCTGCGGATTCTGTGATTGAAGGATTAGTGGCGCTTTGCCCTCTCTGAGCAAGAGCTAATCACACTGCTTCCCGGAAGTTTGTGAGTTTGAACCTCGCTGGTTTCCTTGAGATGCGCGTCACTGATCATTCCCAACAAGGATGAAACGGCCGCACAGTGCTTCTTGGCTTTTCAGCATAAATTGGCTTCACTGATAGGATGAAATCTTTATTGAATATTATACAAACTTCCAACATCATCATAAATCAATCAGGAGAACGCGGTTCGAATTTTGCACTCATCAGCAGTGCATATCCAATGGCCAGGCCGGGGTATGAACTCCGCACATCTAACATGCGAGGCAAGCGTGTTGCCTATACCCAACCAACCCACGCTGGACTTACCTGAAGGTTTCCCCCGAGTGATGTGAGCGGGACGTACGAAGCCCCAAACGACGAACTAGTAACATACCTTGGTTGTGTCGATCGACTGCCCGCCAGTCACCCAACCAACCCACGCTGGACTTACCTGAAGGTTTCCCCCGAGTGATGTGAGCGGGACGTACGAAGCCCCAAACGACGAACTAGTAACATACCTTGGTTGTGTCGATCGACTGGCCCGCCAGTCGGGACTTCCCATTCAGAGAGTGCCACACAGGCTTGAAGCACATTTTGTTTCAAGTGTTGTCTATTGCGGGATTTTGCATAATGCGTACTCACGTGACTCTCCTTTGAGCAGTCATCCTTCTGTCTTGGTGTCCACACCAAATAACGGAAGCACTGTATTCGAGCTTCACTCTTATTAGAGCTCATCAGCCAGGGTTTGAACTCCGCAAATATGACAAGCGGTGCGAGCGTGTTACCACTACCCCATCTTAGAATATGCACTGCTGATGAGCTCTGAGAAGACCGAAACTCGAGCCCAATGCTTCACTCCCTTTGGTGTAGAGTCAGCAAAATGTTTGCGCTGGGATAGGAGAATGATTGTTTAAACGAGAGTTATGTGAGTACGCATGCTACAATATCCCGCAACCAGCAACACTTAAAACCCAGAATACTGTTCCGTGGCAATAGCGAAACGGAAAAATGTCTGATGCCTTCGTCCAAGCGAACTATTCTAGTCTTTGGGAATGTCAATAACATCATCACTGCCAAAGGACTTTTTAAACAGTTAAATGTCACGAAACAGGCTGTCTCTGATTTATAACGCAGCGAAAGATCTGTTAAGGAAAAAATGACCAATCCTTAGCAAAATACACCCATTTTCAAACTAATTTGGTTTTGTCGACGAATTGTCAGCAACCTTATGAGTAGTGCATTACGTAGACTAATCTTTTTTTATACTGAAATGCCTGACAGCTTAGCAGTCAGTTTTGGTCACATTTACTATTCTTAGGCTACAACCGGCCTTGGTTATCCAGCTTATCGCCAAGAGCGCTTGAAAGGAAATTAAACGACCAAGCGTCGTGTTCCTCCGTCCTCGGCAATCAGCTTGAATTACCAGATGAATTGAAGGTTCGCTTTGTGTGCATTAAATGTAAGATAATTGACTGTAACTTTCCACAGGTAGCAACAAATTCTACTGGTTAGAGAGAACTTCCAGTGTGTTGGGGTAGATTTATAATAAAACAGTGAGAAAAAGTAAAGACAACTGATTTGTTGACATTACTACTTTAATCAGTGTTCACACGAGATTTTTGTAGCCATAATTTTCTAGTCCTTAACGATAGAACCGCTTATTTCTATGCGTTCACACAAGCGCCTCTGCCGAATGTGTCTTGTACTACGCAATGGTTGTCCCACGTTTTATTTGGGGCTCATTGAATCATGCTTCAAAGTCAATCAGAAAACCAACGAAAAATCTAGACAGCCAACCAATGGCTTTGCTACTCCATTCACGTGACTTTCGCGTTGCCTGAACACCACATAATGAACACAGCTGCAACTAAGATTGGTAACAACAGGGGATTCAAGTCAAATGAATGAATGAATCTAATGAATCTCTCTATCACAATGTTCTTTTACTGAATGTCATGCCTCAGGTTTCAGCTGGAAGCGCAATCAAGACAAAGAAGTACTTGTTTCGATGCCGCACTATTTGTAAGCAGCATACAAGTTGAAGATCACCGTTTACTTTTAAGTACGCACATTAATTTTATTGTCTAGAGCGCAAAAATAATGTCAAAATAGCCTGGAAAACTGGACCCGTTTGATGAGTCTCAAAAGGACGGAAGCCGGTAATGGATATTCCTAGAGTTTCCATCAACCTTATGAGTAATATCGCTTTACAGAATCTTATTCTCTTATGTAATGAAGGACTGTAAACGATAAATGTCACTCCAATTAGAGCCTTAATTTGCTTATCCCGGTTGTTTAATTTGTCCAACGAATTCGGTGAAAATGAGAAAGTCGCAAAGTTTTGTGAACAAAATGTGTGCCAGAAAAAGCTGAGCGAAAAAGCATTAGTAAGGCTTCCGAAAAAACACACTCATTTGCCAATCAATTTGGTTTTCACGGGAGACTCAGTTGAAACTCTCGTTTATGATGTCCTCCAACTGAATGTGCTGCACACAAGTCGAAGAGTTTTCAGCAACCTTGTGAGTGGTTTCCATTAGTAAGGCTTATTTGTTTCAAACTTTCAGCCCATAGTTAAGACACACGTAGCACCAAGAAGGAACAATATGTATTTCATGAAATCAAGTTGGAAATTTCGGAAAACACAGAGAGCACCGTTTGAAATTCAGATAAATTCTGTTTACATCTTTGTAATGTACTACTCATAACGTTGCCGAAAATTCATCGACAGCCCACGACTCATTTCGTCCTTCTTGGGGCTCATCAGGTAGGCGCAGTCCCCGAGTTTCCGTCAACCTTATGTTCTACTTGAAACCAAATTGCACGAAATTAGAGAATCTACTCTCATTTGCAAACTAATTTGGTTTTTCGAGAGACTCGTGCAATTTGGTTTCAAGTAGAACATAAGACTGACGGAGACCCGGGGACTGCGCCTAACTGATGAGCCCCAAAAAAGCGAAACCGGTCGTTGGCTGTCGACGGATTTTCAGCAACCTTATGAGTATTACATTACAAAGATATACATGTATTGCGATATCTCGAATATCGCAGTGACTGAAACATGAGGCGGCCTGGTGCAGCACATCCAGTTGCCTGAGAACATCACAAACGAGAGATTCGGCTGAGTTCCAAGTGAGTCTCTCGAAAAACCAAATTAGTTTGCAAATGAGTGTATATTCGCTAATTTCTGTTTATATTTTGAGTAACACTGTTTCTTTCTGAAGGTTCGGAGAATTTTGAAGAAAGTATACGCAATAATGACTCCAATTTGACAAAAAAGGCTATCATCAAAACTGTCAAAGCAATCTAAGAAATTCATCGATTTGCTTTGACTATGATATACAAAATAAACTGTGAATTTTGGTATATGTAGTACAGACTGGGGGGAATTACATCGCTACGTGCCTTGGAACGGTTTTTTTACCCATCCCTTTTACCGAATCGCTTAAATCAGACTGTACAACTTAGATTGTTGAAGACGAGTCGATTTTTACATTTTATTTCACGAGGGAAGATTCAACATTGTGAAGGCCATCTCGTAGCATTCCGGCCTTCTCTGGAATTTTTAATGTTTAACTTTTGAGCACACAAGCCGAATAACTATAAGAGCACTGTGCTTAATCGCTTCTTGCGTAAGTGTTCCCATGACGGTTCAAAATCGAAATCGTTCAGCTTTACTATCCTTTCTGTGCCTTGCTGTCATGCCACTTGATGGAAGGGGATGTGATACGGCCAGGTTAGCCAAGCCCACAAAGGGGAACTCGAGAAGCAGAGGCCGGGTTCGAACCACGGACCTTTCGATCAGTACATTCGCGCTCCAATCACTGAGTCATCCAATCTCCTATGAAAAAATTCCTATGAAAATTGGGCCTGTATAACCGTTCGTGAGGATGACTAATCTTAAATGGCAACAGCCTTAGAACCTTACCGACCGTAAACCTTTCAGCTAATTCACTTGGAAGATATGTAAACTGAATTCTGTGATTTAATTGGTGAAGTTCGGGCGTTTTGCTGAAAATTCTGTCTGTCTGGGAAAGAATAATACAAGGTTAATTTCGCTTTACGCTTTGGTCACCGCATGTGACTTTCTCCAGGAGTGAAATAATCAGAATTAAGAGGAGCGTGATTTCACACCGCAGCAAGCGAAGCCAGTGCTAGTCGTTGATATAGAGGTAAGTTTCAAGGCGGAAATCAAACATATCTGTTGGGTTGGGCAATGCGCTCTCAGTTGCAAACTACTCCTTCCTATATAAGTAGCATCGCGATACTGACCTAATCATATTACATTAATAGTGCCATAAATGAATGTTCAACATAAACGGTTTGATCTCCCAAGGAAAAGGGGCCCTTAGGTAGGGACAGGTGGTAATCTTATATTTTCTACCATTCAAAACCGAACAAATTCGCACTAACATTTCCTTGCGACATGGAGTCAGCGGCAAGTAGTGGCGTTTTCCTGTTGGTTGGTTCTCTGTGACTTTTCCTCAAAAGCTACTGAGTATTCGTTTTGGTGATTCGTTTATATCACCGTGGCGATTTCTCTGGTACCCCAGAATCCATTGGAGTGATTCTTTGTCCTCCTGTTTATCAGTGCACAAAAGTTCGTTTCATTATTGCTGGATGATATGAAAACAACTCAACTCCCAACTCCGGAGTGAGTTGACCTTCACTACACAGATACGTCAAAACCCTATTGGCTGGTTGCGAAAGACAAACTGTGAGAGCTGAACATTCTTGGTCACATCACTGTAGTTTGAATAGTTGTCCATCTGTCTTGGTGCAATTATTCTGGTGAGTCCATACCACAGAGGGTAAGGAAGTACTGGACTCGCGTTTCGCTCATGAGTAGTGCATATCACTGGTCTTCCAGTGGTTTGAACTCCGGACATCTGACATGTGAGGCGAGTGCATTACCACTACTCAAGTTCACACTGAATCCATTTCAGTATTCACATCTGAAAAGGTGAACATGTTCACGCTTGATAAATCTGCTTGTTTCGCCGGAATGATCGACTGAAAGCCCAGTAATTATCCTGACCAGTCCATCAACACTGGGCAGTCAGATAGTTCCACGGACTGATTTTGAACGAAATTTTGAACATTCCTTCTCCACAATTGGCACGTTTATTCTGATGAGTAAAAATTGGGTTCTATGCTTGATCCCTTTGCTCTGTACTCATCAGAACATTTGTGCCATAAAATTTGCCACACTGAATAGGGAAATCGGGAAGAGTTGTAGGTTACTGAGAACCTCAAGATGCATGACAACGAGTGTATTATCACCGTAGTGTCACGAAATGCCCGGTTGGTTAGAAAATTGCACAACATCTAATCTTTTATTTTTCTACTTATTGGGAGAACCAACTCCGAAGGTAACGGAGCTACATAACTGCCACCAGAATAACCGTTTTTCGTTGAGACAGATTTCATTGGTTGTTCTTCACTCGCCCTTGACAAGTGAGTTGTATTCTTAGCATCACTTTTGATTGCTTGTACGAGACAGTGATCAATAGAGCAGCTGGTTCGCACGTTCGTTCTGTCAATAGAGCAGCTGGTTTGCACGTTCGTTCTGTTCGGCTAAGCGCACCAGGCGATCAAGAGGCTATCCAGACTGGGGTTCACGATAATAAAAATGCATTAAGGGACTGTGGTCCACGGCACCCTCAAATCTTTAACAGCAATGAATGAGAAACAACTCCCACCTAGGTTTATCCTTTGCTTATCCTCTGTTTCTATTAAAGCCACATAACCGGCTAACTAAATTAGACATATTGCAACAATGCGTTTTGAATGGACTGAAACATCAACCATTCTCTTAATTGTCGAATTCTAACAGTCTTGGCGTCTGGTATAGGCCGATTGAAGATTTCATGCTTCACATTGAAGTTCATTTGTAAAAACGTCGAATTTGATTGACCAGCCACTCAAAATGTCAGGACATCCCGAAACTCTGTGAAACTTTGGGTACTACGACGTTTTGGACTTACCCACTAGCTTACAGAAGTTCAAGAACAGACCAACATTTGTCCGTTCTTGCCTTAACAGTAATATCCATGTTTAGTCGTTATCTCAGGAGCCAATCAATTGGGGAAAGATGTCCGGAATGCAATTGTAGTGTCTGTAATCCGTTGTCACAATTACCATTCTTCCTGAATTTGAACCACACTTTGTAACTATCTTTCACATTGTATCATGACGTTTGTTTTAATGTTACGAATACACAATTTTCCGGCGCGACCTGCTGACTTCTTGCTGAATGAGCGTATTTACGCTCCGTTGAACTGTTTGTTGACTGTTGAACCAGTGGGACCAGATCTCTGTGTTTGTGTTAACTGTTGAACGTCACAATAAATCCCTGTGACATTTTTTAGCCGTGAATAATTTTCCTACCGTGGAATATACCACGCACGCGGAACCATCTGTGGGAAATTCCGACAAGTGAATTTTTCTTTCCACAGCCAGTTACTGCATCTGGATCGGTGTAGTGGACTATTGGATCTACACATTCGTGAGTCCCCATTTGACTACTCATTCTTTTCCTATTGTGATTTTGTGATTTTGTATTGGTTACTTTTGCTTGTCAAATTATCCGAACACGCTGATAAGGTCCTAGTCCGCTATACAATCATCCGTTGAACGATGGCCCGAAATATGCGAGATACCAAACTGGGATAGCAAAGTGGGGTTGCTGCAACCCAAATTTCGGATTCATCATCTCCATTTTGCACACAAAATCTTATGCACTTCAAGAAAGATGTTTTGCTTATTTTACTGACTGAATGTCTGACCAATTCAAGCGATTTTTTATTGAACAGAGCCGAGTGATTTCGCAGAACAGTGTTTTATAAACAAACGTCACACCTTGAACACATGGATCAACTCGTCTGTGGAACGGTTCCCATGTAGTGTTGCCGTTTGGCAAGTAAACAGGTTGTATAAGGAGCGGGAAGTTGCCTTCATTTCTGAGTGTTAGTTTCGTGGGAAAATCTGTTCTGTCACCTTTTTTCTTGAAGACTAGCACCAGAGCTTTCTGTTTGAAAAATTAAACGAAACACAAAGACAAGAAGGAACAACTCAACTGGCTCAAATCACCCAAAACATTCAGCACCAAATTCCATCTACTGACTTTACATGATAATAGACTCACTAGCACCGTTTGATGGCAAACAGTCAACGTAGGCATACTTTGTGCCAGTCTGTTTGTACTCAAAACGATTGTTTTTGTATCTCATAGGACCGGATCAATTGTTGAATTGCCAATCGGATTTTATTGGTCCAATTCATGAAGCACACGTTTCCACCCACTGGGTTTCAACGGTTCAACAATAACGGCAGTTATACTGAAATGTGCCACCCGTGAAAACTGTTTTTATGTTGGACTTTGGTGAGCGAAATTTTCAGATACCATGAATATATTTATACGCGTTGTTGTAAAATCAAGGTCCACATCAAAACTTCACTTGACACACTATTGGCCAGATATTCATTTTGATTTAGACATAATACACTACTAATAAGTTTGCTGGGGGCGAGATAGCCCAAGTGGTTAGAGCGCGAATTTACTGACCGGAAGGTCCGTGGTTCGAATCCGACCTCCGCCACTCGACTTCCCCTGTCTAGGCTTGGGCAACCTGGCAGTATCCCAGCCCTCGTGCTTCCTTCGGGTAGCATTGCAGCTAGGCACCGGAAGGGTGCTACAGCTGAACGCAATAAGTTTGCTGATAATTCTTCGGCAGTGCTCGACCGGTTTTGCCCTTCTTGAGGCTCATCAGGTAGGCCCAGTCCCTGAGTTTCCGTCAACCTTATTTTCTGCTTGAACCCAAATTGCACGAAATTGCAAACAGATTTGGTTTTTCTGGAGACCCACCTGGAACGTAGCTGAATCTCTCGTTTATGATGTTTTTGACTGTTTCCAATTTCTAAGTGTGACCGGTGTTGTGCCGACTGTTATGAACTACTGTGTTGTACTTTTTCATGATGGCAAAGGATCAGTGTGCTTCCTGAATTTTAATCAGATCAGTCAAAATGTTAGCATAATGGGTCTGCACAACACAAGGAAGGACAGATAGCTCGCACTGGCAACACTGATCGTTTCGTGGTCACGGGTCTTTGAATGACCCGAATAACACCGATACCGTGCTCGGATAGTGCCCGCATACGCATAAGACTGATAGCATAATGTGTTCTCTCCACGTATCCGTATTCTTTGATCAGCTATCAATGGCCGGCTCCACAATGGCTGTCTAACCAGTGTTCCAAGCCATTTACGCTACGAAGGAGGGGTCTCTGAAGTGATTGTCCATCACAGGCAGATGACGGGTCAAATATAAACGCTAAGTGGTTCCCTGAGTTCTAAATTAGTTGAGTATTTGAATGAACTAAAGCTCGGATAATCTGGGTCATCCTTCAGACAAACTGCAGCTTTGAGCCATCCATGTTCTCTGTAAATCCTAGAGGAAACTATACCACGTAACTCTATCGCTTTTTCGCGCCTTTTATACATACATCAGTAGCACAGTCCACTTTATCAGAACACTTTATATTTACTACAAGGTTTTGAAGCTGTCGTTGAATGGTAACACAGTCGTGAGATCTATCGGAACTTCACCCAGAAGATCGTAGATATAGGTGCCGTAGGCATAGTAGGTATCGTACATATAGGTTGATTGAAGACGCAAAAGCTATGAAATCAACTTTCATCCGCTTAAAGTACACTTACGTTTTGGTGTAAAATGCGACAGAAACTCTAGACAACGAACTGATTCACTTGTGAAACGGTTAAATGTGTTGGAGGTTTAAGTGCGAAAGCCGCTCAGTACTCATGCGTAGCAAATGCCATTGAAAGGCAGAACAACATGAAAGTCATCGTAATAATTTTGAATTGCCAGCGAATAAAGCATACATACAGTCTCATGTATACACATAAAACCACAGACCAGGGATTGAACGCTATTGATGTACCCATATGTCTGCTGAAGGGCTGAGACATGAAAGGTACAATAGTATAATAGTACGCACAAATGAATATTGGACGGGCACATTCAGTAAACGACGAACGATTGTGCGACTGAACTCTAGGAGGGGATACAAGAGAAACATGAATACGCGATAGTGTTCTCTTAGCATGACTAGATAGAAGGCCAAAAACTTGCTATGTGTAACCACTGCAAGGTTTTGTGAATCTTGTGCAAGTACACCCAACTGATGTCGTGGTGACTACGTCTTACGGCAGCAAAAGTTTCGTTGCAGACATGCAGAAGAAACGAAGCCCAAGATTTGCCTTCAGGAGATGATAGCTCAGGACAATGTACAACAAGGTTCTCTCCATGTATACGCTATTCTTATACACCGCACAACAATGCAGTGAAATAAACATCTACGGACGCGAGCACTTTCCAATCACGTGAACAAAACGGTCAACTGCTCAGGAAGGAAGGGAAGATAGTGGCAGTTACGTGGAAACAACAGTCGGTCCGGCGTGCTACTCTCGACTCACACCGCTTACAGTCAACAAGGAGAGTGCGCAACGTACAATGTCAGACAGTGTTTTTAGCTCTTGACAAACTGAATGATCATGTCACGCGACCAAGGCGCTCATTGTCTAGAAATACCCAAAATGCCTATGATTATTATTTTTACTTATTACTACTTATTATTACTTATTATTTTCAGCGCTTTATTGTGCACAGCGTATTTTGCCCACCTCTTTCAAAGGTACCATGGAAGAAGAACAAGCTTCACGGTTTTTGGAAGATTTTCTATTTTTAAAGCCTGACTTTCCTACAACGGAGTTTTTCTCCCGACTGAAATATATTTGTCCTCCTGAGATTTTTTCTGACGGACATTTCCATGAAGTAACTTTGTTCTGTTGTATGTCCGTTGAGGACAC